CAGGTTCGGTCCGCGGGAGATGCGGGCCGAATCCGGGATGGTGCGGCGGTTCAACCCGAGTACCGGCGCAGATCCGTACCATTCCCTCCGTGTTGCTGACATTGGAGACATCAGCGTCAACTTATACAACCTTGCGGACAGCTGCAAGCGGATCCGGGAGGCCTTCCGAAGGATCGTGGCCGGGGGCTGCGTGCCTCTGGCGCTGGGTAAAGTATAGGGTTGGGGGTAGGGGTAGGGCTCGGTCTAGGGCTCAGGCTCAGGTTCAGGTTAGGGTTAGGGGTAGGGCTTGTGTTAGGGTTAGGGGTAGGTCTCAGGTTAGGGTTAGGGGTAGGGCTCAGGTTAAAGTTAGGGCTAGGGCTCAGGTTAGGGTTAGGGGTAGGACTCGGGTTAGGGGTAGGGCTCGGTCTAGGGCTTAGGCTCGGGTTAGGGCTAGGGCTCGAGCTCGGGTTAGGGCTAGGGGTAGGTTTCAGGTTAGGGTTAGGGATAGGGGTAGGGCTTGGGATAGGGCTAGGGTTCAGGTTAGAGTTAGGGGTTAGGGCTAGGAGTAGGGCTCAGGCTGGTTAGTTTTTGCCATGAGTCTGGAACATGGTGCCCAATGGGGTCCACTGTTAAAGAGGTTGGATGGCCATCTGTCAGGAGGGTTTGGAATGTGCCCTCCTTGATACGGGTCAAACTGGATGACCTTTGGGGGACCCTGGGTTGGGGAAGGCACGGGAAGCCCGGAAAGAAGGCTCAGGTCCTCGTTTGGCTGCCCATTTGGACCCTCTTGTTTTCCCCGCAGGAGGAGACCACACGATCACCTACCCGATCCTGCAGGCGGTGGCGGAAAAGTAGGTTCTCGTTAATGTGGTTGCGGTTGTTTGGACATATTTTAGTAGTGTGTAACTGCGGAAAAACACAGCGGAAGGGACTTAAAAAAGCCAAAAAAAGCAAATACATTACAATGTTCATACTTATCTTCTTACCTAATTAGATTTACCTATTCCTTTAAAGTGCATTTTACTTAGATGCTTGTTACTTATCTCTATAAATAAAAATGTCATGTTCGTTTGTGGGATTAACAGAACTCAAAAACCACTGGACGAATTGACACCAAATTTGGACCCAAGACACCTCTCAGGCCAACGAGTGACCATCACTCATAAAAACACTGAAAAACACAACAGAAGAGACTTAAAAAGCTAAAAAAAGAAGAAAATAAATTACAATTTTCATGCTTATCTTCTTACCTAATTGGATTTACCTATTCCTTTAAAGTGCTCTCAGGCCAACGAGTGACCATCACTCATAAAAACACTGAAAAACACAGCGGAAAAGACTTAAAAAGCCAAAAAAGAAAATAAAATAAATTACAATGTTCATGCTTATCTTCTTACCTAATTGGATTTACCTATTCCTTTAAAGTGCTTTTTACTTAGATGCTTTTTACTTATCTCTATAAATAAAAATGTCATGTTTGTTTGTGGGATGAACAGAACTCAAAAACCACTGGACGAATTGATGCCAAATTTAGACACAAGACACCTAACAACCCAATGTGTGTCCTTCACTCATACAAACACTGAAAAACACAGCGGAAGAGACTTAAAAAGACAAAAAACAAAGATTACATTACAACGCATTCGCAAAACCACATATATATGCAAACACACACACATATATATACACACACAAAACACAAAAAGGGGGAAGGAAGGAGAGAAAGAAGGAGGGGAGAAAAAGAAGGAAAGAAAGAAGGGTAGAGAAGGAAGGAAATAAGTAGAGAAGGAGAGAAAGAGAGAACGGAGGAGGGAAGGAGAGAAGGAAGGAAAGAAGGGTAGAGAAGGAAGGAAGGAGAGAAGGAGGGAGAGAAAGAGGGAAATAAGGTGGGGAAAGAAAGAAGGGTTGAGAAGGAAGGAGGGAAGGAAAGAGAAAGAAGGAGGGAAGGAGAGAAGGAAGGAAAGAAGTGTAGAGAAGGAAGGAAGGAGAGAAGGAGGGGAAAGAAAGAAGGATAGAGAAGGAAGGAGGGAGAGAAAGAGAGAAAGAAGGAGGGGAGAAGGAAGGAGAGAAGGAAGGGAAAGAAAGAAGGGTAGAGAAGGAAGGAAGGAGAGAAGGAGGGAGAGAAAGAGTGAAAGATGGAGGGGAAAGAAAGAAGCGTAGAGAAGGGAGAGAAAGAAGAGGGAAGGAGAGAAGGAAAGAAAGAAGGGTAGAGAAGGGAGAGAAAGAGGGAGAAAAGAGAAAGACGGAGAGAAGGAAGGAAAGAAGGGTAGAGAAGGAAGGAAGGAGAGAAGGAGGGAGAGAAAGAGTGAAAGATGGAGGGGAAAGAAAGAAGCGTAGAGAAGGGAGAGAAAGAAGAGGGAAGGAGAGAAGGAAAGAAAGAAGGGTAGAGAAGGGAGAGAAAGAGGGAGAAAAGAGAAAGACGGAGAGAAGGAAGGAGAGAAGGAAGGGAAAGAAAGAAGGGTAGAGAAGGAAGGAAGGAGAGAAGGAGGGAGAGAAAGAGTGAAAGATGGAGGGGAAAGAAAGAAGCGTAGAGAAGGGAGAGAAAGAAGAGGGAAGGAGAGAAGGAAAGAAAGAAGGGTAGAGAAGGGAGAGAAAGAGGGAGAAAAGAGAAAGACGGAGAGAAGGAAGGAAAGAAGGGTAGAGAAGGAAGGAGGAAGGAAGGAGAGAAGGAGGGAGAGAAAGAGGGAAAGAAGGAGGGAAGGAGAGAAGGAAGGAAAGAAAGAAGGGTAGAGAAGGAGGGAGACAAAGAGGGAGAGAAGAAGAGAAAGAAGGAGGGAAGGAGAGAAGGAAGGAAAGAAGTGTAGAGAAGGAAGGAAAGAGACAAGGAGGGAGAGAAAGAGGGAAAGAAGGAGGGGAAACCATCCCTATACCCTGTAGGAACATTCTCATGAGAAACTACACTTTGGACAGATGTCTCTCTGTCATTCTCTGCATCAACATTGCCATCTTGAACCTCATTTACATCATTCCCCACATCCAAAGCATCTTGAACCTGAAACACAATCACAGGCTGAACGCCAACACTTGCCAACTGGCCCGGCTCAGGTGCCGCAGCTTGTTTCAAGCGTCGGCAAGAGGCCCCTCGTTACCGCCTGGGTGATGAGGCGGTGACGAGGCACCGCAATGCCTCCGCTGCCTCGTTAATCACTCCCGAAGTGGTGGCGACGGGGAGGAGGAAGAGGAAGGTAACGAGGGTGAGGGAGGGGGTGTCCCTACTTCGCGGAATTTCACTTATCGCGTGTGGTCCTGGAACATAACACCCGCAATAAGTGAGGGAACACTGTATACTAGGCTTGGGTAACCACAGAAAAATTTGGTTCTAAACCCGTTTTGTTTTTAGGGGTCCATCGCGTTTCGTTTTTTTTAAAGAATTCCGAAATTTTCCTTTTAAAATTTTCGAAATTTACGAAATTCCGTAAAATTACGAATCGATTCGTTAATGGCGGACGCGATTGCGCAATATGCTAAAAAAAAACCTCCAAATGGGACAGGAGGAACTTCTGAAGCTTCCCTCTCCCTCCGTTGTTGAGATCAAACAAACAACTATAAAACTTGCACCAGACATGCGGAAATAATTACGAAATAATTACGAAATAATTACGAAAAAAAATTGAAAAAATTGTTTCGAATCTTTATTACTCCTCACACAATTCCCGCATGGCTCAACACTGGATCGTAAGCTAATTTAAATACGAATTAATAACGAATTACGAAATTAACGAACGAAACCGCCCAAGCCTACTGTATACTCGTTTCGATGATCCTTTCAAAGGGGGCTGTTGGCCACGCGCCGTCCGTCTCCCCTCCAAGTGCCGCAAGGTATGCTCTCCTTCGCATCCCAGGTACGGCCCTGTGGGTTTGGTGCACGTGGACGCCCACACCGACACTGGCGACCAGGCCCTCGGAGAGAAGCTCTACCACGGGACGCCCTTCCGGCGCTGCGTCGACGAGGGACTCCTGGACTGCCAACGGGTCGTGCAGATCGGCATCCGGGGCTCCTCCTACTCCCCCGACCCCTACAAGTTCTGCCGGGAGCAGGTCGTGCGAGCTTTGCATTCCCGCGATTCCGCTCTTGTATTTTCCTCTACCTTCAATTCCATGTATTATCGAAGGCTTTCACGGACGGAATCGCTGGGGTGTTATTGTATGGTTTCTGGGCTGTATGGCCGTATTCTGCACACACCTCTGAGTAGAACCACCTTGCTTAGAAAACACCAGCAGTCGTCTTTATAGCAGTGTTTCTCTATCTGGGGGTTGCGATCCCCCGAGGGGTCGTGCGGGGGTATTTTTATTTTTCCTTTCCTTTCTCTTCCCATTTCTTTAAGTACTTTTTCCTTATTTTATTTTTCCTTTCCCTTCTTTCCTTTCCATTACCAACCCCTCCTTTCCTTTCTCTTTACTTTACATTCTTTTCCTTCACTTTCTTTCTTTCCTTACTTTGTTCTTCCTCTTTTCCTTTATATTATTTTTCCTTTCCTTTCTCTTCCCATTTCTTTTATCTTACTTTACGTTCTTTTCCCTTATTCTATTTTTCCTTTCCTTTCTTTCCTTTCTTTTCCTTTCCTTTCCCTTACCAACCCTTTTCCCTTCCTTTCTCTTTACATTCTTTTCCTTTTCCTTCACTTTCTTTCTTTCTTTCCTTACTTTGTTCTTCCTCTTTTCCTTTATATTATTTTTCCTTTCCTTTCTCTTCCCATTTCTTTTATCTTACTTTACGTTCTTTTCCCTTATTTTCTTTTGTCTTCCTTTCTTTTCCTTTCCTTTCCCTTACCAACCCTTTTCCCTTCCTTTCTCTTTACATTCTTTTCCTTTTCCTTCACTTTCTTTCTTTCCGTCCCTTTCTTTTCTTACTTTGTTCTTCCTCTTTTCCTTTATATTATTTTTCCTTTCCTTTCTCTTCCCATTTCTTTTATCTTACTTTACGTTCTTTTCCCTTATTCTATTTTTCCTTTCCTTTCTTTCCTTTCTTTTCCTTTCCTTTCCCTTACCAACCCTTCTTCCCCTTCCTTTCTCTTTACATTCTTCTCCTTTTCCTTCACTTTCTTTCTGTCCCTTTTTTTCTTAAGTTTTCCCCCTTTTCCTTTATTTTATTTTCCCTTTCCTTTCTCTTCCCTTTTTTAACTTTTATCTTACTTTACGTTCTTTTCCCTTATTCTATTTTTCCTTTCCCTTATTTCCTTTTGTCTTCCGTTCCGTTCTTTTCTTTTCCTTTCGTTTCCTTTCCCTTACCAACCCCTCCCTTCCCTTCCTTTCTCTTTACTTTACATCCTTTTCCTTTTCCTTCACTTTCTTTCTTTCCGTCCTTTTCTTAAGTTCTCCCCCTTTTCCTTTATTTTTTCCTTTCCTTTCTCTTCCCATTTCTTTACTTTTATCTTACTTTACGTTCTTTTCCCTTATTTTATTTTTCCTTTCCTTTCTTTCCTTTCTTTTCCTTTCCTTTCCCTTACCAACCCTTTTCCCTTCCTTTCTCTTTACATTCTTCTCCTTTTCCTTCACTTTCTTTCTTTCCGTCCCTTTCTTTTCTTATTTCCCTTTTCCTTTATATTATTTTTCCTTTCCTTTCTCTTCCCATTTCTTTTATCTTACTTTACGTTCTTTTCCCTTATTTTATTTTTCCTTTCCCTTCTTTCTTTTCCTTTCCCTTACCAACCCCTTCTTCCCCTTCCTTACTCTTTACATTCTTTTCCTTTTCCTTCACTTTCTTTCCGTCCCTTTCTTTTCTTAAGTTCTTCCCCTTTTCCTTTATATTATTTTTCCTTTCCTTTCTCTTCCCATTTCTTTACTTTTATCTTGCCTTACGTTCTTTTCCCTTATTTTATTTTTCCTTTCCCTTCTTTCTTTTATCTTCCTTTCCTTTCTTTCCCTTACCAACCCTCCTTCCCTTCCCTTTCTCTTTACATTCTTTTCCTTCACTTCCTTCCTTTCCATTCCTTTCTTTTATCTCAATTCTTCCCCTTTTCCTTTATTTTATTTTCCCTTTCCTTTCTCTTCCCTTTTTTTACTTTTATCTTATTTTACGTTCGTTTCCCTTCTTTATCCTTTCCCTTCTTTCCTTTTATCTTCCTTTCCTTTCCTTTCCCTTACCAACCCCTCCTTTCCTTCCTTTCTCTTACATTCTTTTCCTTTCCTTCCTTCCTTTCTTCTCCTTCTTTCTCTTCTTCCCTTATTTTATTTTTCCTTTCCTTCTTTCCTTTTGTCTTCCTTTCCTTTCCTTTCCCTTACCAACCCTTCTTCCCTTCCTTTCTCTTTATTCTTCTTTTCCTTTTCCTTCACTTTCTTTCTTTCTGTCCCTTTCTTTTCTTACTTTATGTTCTTCCTCTTTTCCTTTATTTTTCCTTTCCTTTCTCTTCCCATTTCTTTACTTTTATCTTACTTTATGTCCTTTTCCCTTATTTTATTTTCCTCCCCTTCGTTCTTTTCCTTTCCCTTACCAACCCCTTCTTCCCCCTCCTTTCTCTTTCTATTCTTTTTCCTTCACTTTCTTTCTTTCCGTCCCTTTCTTTTCTTACTTTGTTCTTCCTCTTTTCCTTTATATTATTTTCCCTTTCCTTTCTCTTCCCATTTCTTTTTTCCAATTTTATTTTTCCTTTCCCTTCTTTCCTTTTGTCTTCCTTTCCTTTCCCTTATCAACCCCTCCCTTCCCTTCCGTTTCTCTTTACATTCTTTTCTTTTTCCTTCACTTCCTTTCTTTCCATCCCTTTCTTTTATCTATGTCCTTCCCCTTTCCTTTATTTTATTTTTCCTTTCCCTTCTTTCCTTTTGTCTTCCTTTCCTTTCCCTTACCAACCCTCCCTTCCCTTCCTTTCTCTTTGCTTTATATTCTTTTCCTTCCGTTCTTTCCATCCCGTTTTCTCTTTAAGCTCTTTTCCTTCATTTTATTTTTTCCTTCCTTCTCCTTCATTATTTTCATTTCATTTTCTTTTATCATATGAAGATGCCCTTTGTCGTTGTGACGAGTCCTTAAGAAGTATTTTAAATATTATCTTGTTTTAATTCGTTATTGTTTTGCTTTTAATTGTATTTCGCTTTGGGCTTGGCCCCACGTAAGCCGGAGGTTTAGCACAGCTGGTAAATCATCAGCAATTCTAGATCTATCAACCAAAAGGTTGCAAGTTCGAAGCTCCGGCTTGGCGTGAGCTGCCAACAGTCAGCCTAGCTCATTGTTTACCTAAGCAATTCGAAAACAGCTTTAGCTGTCATTACAGAAATTAGGTACCGTTAAAAAGCAAGGGAGGTGTTTTACAACACCATAAAGAAAGATGATCAGAAAATGCTGGGCGACCAAAAGGAAGGAGGAATCGGGATAAAGCAACAGCACCCCCTGGACTCGAGCCCAACCTGGACTCGAGCCCAACCTTTCTGTTCTGTGTATTGTCTATACAAAGCGGCATTGAATGTTTGCCGTATATGTGTACTGTAATCCACCCTGAGTCCCCTTCGGGGTGAGAAGGCGGAATATAAATAAAGTGTTGTTGTTGTTGTTGTTGTTGTTGTTGTTGTTATTATTATTACGTCGCTCCGAGTCCCTCCGGGGAGATGGAGGCGGGGTAGAAAAATAAAACTCTTCCTCCTCCTCCTCCTTATTTTTCTCCTCCTCTTCTCTTCTTCTTCTTTCTCCTCCTCCTCCTCTTCTTCTTTTTCCTCCTCCTCCTTATTTTTCTCCTCCTCCTCTTTTCTTCTTCTCCTTCCTCCTCCTCCTCCTTTTTCTCCTCCTCTTCTTCTTCCTCCTCCTCCTTATTTTTCTCCTCCTCCTTCTCCTTTTTCTCCTCCTCCTCCTCTTCTCTTCCTCCTCCCCATTTTTCTCCTCCTCCTCTTCTTCTTCTCCTCTTCTTCCTCCCCCTCTTCTTCTTCTTCCTCCTTCTCCTCCTCTTCTTCCTCCTCCTCCTCCTCTTTTCTTCTTCTCCTTCCTCCTCCTCCTCCTTTTTCTCTTCCTCCTCTTCTTCTTCCTCCTCCTCCTCCTTTTTCTCCTCCTCTTCTTCTTCCTCCTCCTCCTTATTTTTCTCCTCCTCCTTCTCCTTTTTCTCCTCCTCCTCCTCTTCTCTTCCTCCTCCCCATTTTTCTCCTCCTCCTCTTCTTCTTCTCCTCTTCTTCCTCCCCCTCTTCTTCTTCCTCCTCCTTCTCCTCCTCTTCTTCCTCCTCCTCCTCTTTTCTTCTTCTCCTTCCTCCTCCTCCTCCTCCTCTTCTCTTCTTCTCCTCCTCCTTATTTTTCTCCTCCTCCTTTTTCTCCTCCTCTTCTCTTCTTCTTCCTCCTCCTCCTCCTTCTCCTCTTCTTCTTCTCCTCCTCCTCCTCCTCCTTCTTCCTCCTCCTCCTTCTTCCCCTTTTTCTCCTCCTCCTCTTCTCTTCCTCCTCCTCTTTTCTCCTCCTCCTCCTTTTTCTCCTCCTCCCTTCTTTCTTCTTCCTTTCTTCCTCCCCTCTTCTTCTCTTCTCCTTCTCCTCCTCTTCTTCCTCTCCTCCTTATTTTTCTCCTCTCTCCTCTTTTCTCCTCCTTCTCTTCTTCTTCCTCCTCCTCTTCTTCTTCCTCCCCCTCCTCTTCTTTTTCTTCCTCCTCCTCCTCTTCTTCCTCCTCCTCATTTTTCTCCTCCTCCTTCTTATTTTTCTCCTCTTCCTCCTCCTCTTTTTCTTCCTCCTCTTCCTCCTCTTCTTCTTTCTCTTCTCCTTCTCTTCTTCCCACTCCTCTTTTTCTTCCTTCTCCTCCTCCTCTTCTTCTTCCTCCTTCTCCTCCTCCTCTTCTTCCTCCTCCTCCTTCTTTTTGTCCTCCTTTTTCTTCTCTTCTTCCTCCTCCTTCTTATTTTTCTCCTCTTCCTCCTCTTTTTCTTTTTCTTCTTCTTCCTCTTCCTCTTCTTCTTCTTCCAGTGCTGACCAGAGCATGGTGGTATTTTGGGGAAGCTACATTTTTGGTATGTAACTTTTATGGAGGTATGTTTTAGTGCATGTATTTGTAGTGTTTTTGCTATGTTTATATATTTTATTTGTCCTGTAACCTGCCTTGAGCCATGAGGAGAGGCAGGTGAAAAGTAAAATTCTTCTCCTTCTCACTCTCCTCCTCCTCCTCCTTTTTTTCTTCTTCCTCCTCCTCCTCCTCTTCTTCTTCCTCCTCATTTTTCTCCTCCTCCTTCTTTTTCTTCTCTTCTTCCTCCTCCTCCTCCTCATTTTTCTCCTCCTCCTCCTCTTCCTCCTCTTCTCCTTCTCTTCTTCCCACTCCTCTTTTTCTTCCTTCTCCTCCTCCTCCTCTTCTTCCTCCTTCTCCTCCTCCTCTTCTTCCTCCTCCTTTTTGTCCTCCTCCTTCTTTTTCTTCTCTTCTTCCTCCTCCTCCTCCTCATTTTTCTCCTCCTCCTCCTCTTTTTCTTCTTCTTCCTCTTCTTCTTCTTCCAGTGCTGACCAGAGCATGGTGGTATTTTGGGGAAGCTACATTTTTGGTATGTAACTTTTATGGAGGTATGTTTTAGTGCGTGTATTTGTAGTGTTTTTGCTATGTTTATGTATTTTATTTGTCCTGTAACCTGCCTTGAGCCATGAGGAGAGGCAGGTGAAAAGTAAAATTCTTCTCCTTCTCACTCTCCTCCTCCTCCTCCTTTTTTTCTTCCTCCTCCTCCTCCTCTTCTTCTATTCCTTCCCTCTTGGCAGGGCTTCCGGGTGGTGCTTGCGGAGGACTGCTGGGGGAAGTCTCTGGCTCCACTGATGGCAGAAGTGCGGGACCAGATGGGTCGCAAGCCCCTCTACATCAGCTTCGACATCGATGGCATCGACCCGGCTTATGCTCCGGGAACCGGGACCCCGGAGATTGCGGGACTCACCCCGGCGCAGGTAAGAGGCCGCAAAATGCTTTCCCCTGCTTCTGGAGTAAAACAACTACTTTCAAAGTAAAGACCACCCAATGAAACAGGAAATAACACTTTCAAACCATTAATGAAAGGATTCAGAAGTCTCAGAAGTTTCAAAAATATTTGAACATTTTTTTTCTGTGAAAATTGGAATTGACTTTAGAATTGTGGAGCAGCACCCTGTTAGTGGTCTGTTCATTTCCAAAGGAAGGCTAGTTCAGGATTTTGGCTAGATTCCTAAGGGGGATTTTTGGGAGTTACTTTCAGAGATTCATTTCCTGAAGTAGTTTTCTGTGTTGGAACTTTTAAGATTTGTAACCCAGAAGTTTTTAAGATCTTTACTCAAACGCAACCACAAGCTTTTTATACCTACCAGTATTTTACTGAAACCACTAAGCATTTGTACCTGAATTATTCAAGCCTGTTCAATAAACGTTCTTGTTATTTTTATCAATTTATACCAGCCTCAGTGTGAATACCTTTGTAGTCAAAGCAATATTCCAGTCAGTTTCCAGAATCTTCTAAGAAAACTATTGTGACACAGAGTGTGATACTGAACAAACTCTCAATAATACCTCAGCCTTTTTATTATTAATATGGTGGCAGCGGATATCTTTTGAAGAATCATTTTAAGTCTCTCAGTTCCAGTGCTTCCCAGTTCCTAACTTGTAAATTTACAGTTGGTTCTTCTATATTTTGGTGAGCTAGTCTGTGGTGGAGGTGTCATCGTTATAATTTGGCTGAGCAGCGTTGGGATTGTTTTATCTATATTTCCCCATCTGATAAAATCAAATTTAAAATCTTCTCTACTACTCGGCTGCGTCATTATACCTCTGCAGGCCGTATCAAAGCCCTACAAGGGCTGAGCACAGGCTGGAGAACCCACTTCACCTCTCCTTTTCCCCTTCTCGTGCTTTCACACAGGCTCTGGAGATCCTGCGCGGCTGCCGAGGGCTCAACATCGTGGGAGGGGACCTGGTTGAAGTGGCTCCCGTCTATGACGCTTCAGGTGATGTATTAGGGCACTTAGAGCATCTCTTAAAAGAGGAGGTCGACATGGCGGCGGGCAGGGACGTGGTCAGACAGGCCGGGTCAAGGTTGGAGATGGGCAGAATCGTTGGGTGGTCCGGGTCAAACCGTGAATAGAGTAATAACAAGTCCAGAAATCATAGTCCAAATACCTCGGTCAAAAGAGTCCAGTCAAAGCCAAAGAATCAAAATCAGAGAGCTCGCAGAGGAGAAAGGTTCTCAAGCTGCTGACAGGAGCACGGAAAAGAGAACTGTTAGCTGGCCCCGCCCATGGGCCATATATACTCGAGGTAGATGGGCGGGGTCAGATGGGCTTTGAAACGTTATTCTATGTTCTAGAAGGTTCCGAAAGCTGCACTGCGCAGGCGCAGAGAATACCAAATGTACGATTCACAGGGACTACGACAGGAAAATATATATTATTTGCCACCTCTCCGCAAACTTCACAGTTGTCTCCAAATCCTCCTTTTGCTGTCGTTGCAATAATTACGAGGCACGATTTTGGCAGTTTCCCGTTTTCCGACTCCGACATCGTTGTGAGGTCCACGTCATAGACTAGATGACCGAGGCCGAGTAGCATATACTTAGGACCCAAGTCTCCAAAACTTCCCAAAAACTCACATTATCATGCACTTCTATAATTACGAGGGTTGAATGAAAAGTAATGCCTCCACCTTCGTAACAGTACTGGTATGCGGCAGGCACTGGCTTGTTCAGTAGACTCTCCTCTACAGTTCCATTTTGGTGGGAGGCCTTAGCATTGAACCGTTGTGTTGTTGAAGTGCAAAGTATGGAACCCTGTGTAGACGCTCGGTCAATGTGACTTAAGCAAAGTCCCCAAAACTTCCCAAAACTCACATTATCATGCACTTCTATAATTACGAGGGTTGAATGAAAAGTAATGCCTCCACCTTCGTAACTCCTCAACAGGTGGCAGTACTGGTATGCAACAGGTACTGGCTTGTTCAGTAGACTCTCCTCTACAGTCCCATTTTGGTGGGAAGCCTTAGCATTGAACCGTTGTGTTGTTAAATTATGGAACCTTGCGCAGGTGGTCGGTTAATGCGACTTAAGCAATGTGCAGTCATTGAGTTCTTGACAGCAGAAGGTGTCACCCCAAAGGAGATTCATCAGAGAATGCAAGCTGTTTATGGTGATTGTGTTGTTGTGAGTACTGTGCGTCGTTGGACAAGTAAGTTTAAAGATGTTGAGGTGGGAACATCTGACTTGCGTGACAAACAAAGAGTTAGAAGTCCTGTGTCAGCAACCACCGAGTTTCACGAGAAAAGACTGACATTGATTCAGGACGATCGTCGTATCACTCAGAGAGAAATTTCAAGCATAATCGGCATTTCACAAGAATGTGTGGGTCGGATTATTGCTTTGCTTGGATATCGGAAGATCTGTGCATGATGGGTACCCATTGAAATGAAAGCGCACAGACTTCTTCCGTGACTGCTTCAGAAAACTTGTTCATCGTTGGCAAAAATGTATTCAATTGTTTGGTGATTATGTGGAATAGTGAATAGTGGTAATTAAAGAGCACTTTCTAAGGATTATTTCTGCGTTTGATTTATTAAAATATTCCCATCCAAAGGCAAGTAACGAAGGTGGAGGCATTACTTTTCATTCAACCCTCGTATTTTTGCCATCTTGGGTATTCTTAAAGGATTGGGAATCTTCTGGCATTAATCTTCGGATATATTTAAGACATGGGCAATCCATGGTTCTAAAGTACTTACAAAACTAGGGGGTGCTGGTGCTTGGCTTCTAAAGTGTTGCTGAAGTTCTTGTGGTGAAAATTTCAGAACTCTAACAAAACTTTCAAAACTTCATTATTTATTTCGTTATTGGCGATTTTTATGACAGAACCAATTAGGGCCTGCCATTTATAACGAAATTTTGAAAGTTTTCTTAGAGTTCTGAAATTTTTACCACCAGAACTTTAGAAACACTTTGGAAGCAAAACTCAGAACTCTAACAAAACTTTCAAAACTTCATTATTTATTTCGTTATTGGCGATTTTTATGACAGAACCAATTAGGACCTGCCATTTATAACGAAATTTTGAAAGTTTTCTTAGAGTTCTGAAATTTTTACCACCAGAACTTTAGAAACACTTTGGAAGCAAAACTCAGAACTCTAACAAAACTTTCAAAATTGCATTATTTATTTCGTTATTGGCGATTTTTATGACAGAACCAATTAGGAACTGCCGTTTATAACGAAATTTTGAAAGTTTTGTTAAGAGTTCTGAAGTTTTCACCACCAGAACTTTAGAAACACTTTAGAAGCAAAGCACCAGCGCCCCCTAGTTTAGTAAGTAATTTAGAACCATTCATGGCTCATGCCTAATATATAGAGACACCTATTGTACCGTCTCTCTCCTCTGCATAAACTCTTTGTGTAGATATATATAAGGCATGAGCACTCCATGGTTCTAAAGTACTTACAAAATTAGGAGGCACTGGTGGTTAGCTTCTAAAGTGTTACTAAAGTTCTGGTGGTGAAAATTTCAGAACTCTAACAAAACTTTCAAAATTTCATTATTATTTCGTTATTGGCGATTTTTATGACAGAACCAATTAGGACCTGCCATTTATAACGAAATTTTGAAAGTTTTGTTAGAGTTCTGAAGTTTTCACCACCAGAACTTTAGAAACACTTTAGAAGCAAAGCACCAGCACCTCCTAATTTTGTAAGTAATTTAGAACCATGGATTGCACATGCCTAATATATAGCTAGGCTTGGTTGATCAAGAAAAAAAATGGTTCTAAAGTCGTTTCGTATATAGTGAGCTAGTGGCTCGATTTTGAAATTATTTCCAAAATTTTCTTTAAGGAAAGATCGAAAATACCAGGAAATACGAATCGCTTCTTTTGTTTCATTAATGGAAGGTGCTCCTCCCTCCCTCCAGAACCATTAAAATCTCGCAGTTTCCCTTCCTTCCCTTGCGGCGAGCTTCTCTCACCTTTCCTTCTCTTCCCGGCAAGCTGTCCGTCATGCAGAAGGGAGAGGTGGGCGTGGCCAAGCACAGCGCTCCTTGGAGTTCGCTGGGGGCGAGGCCTCCAAGGAGGGCTGTGCTTGGCCCACGCCCACCTCCTTCCTCTTAGCATCGGGGGCTTTGCGAGGTGGCCGTGGCTACGCCCAGCTCTTCTGCATCGCCGCTTGTCGCCAGGGAGGTAGCCATGCCCACCTCACAAAGAGGAAGGAGGTGGGCGTGGGTAAGAACAGCTGTTCCTGAAGGCCACGCCCCCAGCATTTACAATTCACTGCCAGAAGTCGTAAGGAAGATGCCGGACACGGCTTCGATATGGCAAAAACACGTCCGGGTTGCCAAAATGCGTCGATATCGCTTCTGAATGTATTTTATTTACGATTTCAGAACGATATTAGAAATTAACGAGCTGGATCAACCAAGCCTAATAGACATGTATTGTACCGTCTCTCTCCTCCGTATAAACTCTTTGTGGGATTTCCCACAAAGATAGTGCCCGTATTCCTTTATATGTGCTAATAATTTTCCGATCTTTTCTTCAATAGGGAACACGGCCCTTCTGGGAGCCAACCTTCTCTTCGAAATGCTCTGCTCTCTTCCACAAGTGAAGTCAGCGTAAAGGTCTAACCCAGGCAGAAGTGATTTGTGGAAAGAAGTTCACGGATCCAGGCTTGAATTAAACTTCAGTTCCTTTGCTTTGTGTCCTCATTTGAGCTTTTTCCTGAATGACGGGAAAGCTATTGCGAGGCTTTCTCAGTAAAGTTTACTTGGAAAAAGCTCGCTTCCCTCTGAGGCTGAGCAGGGATTCGAACCCAGGTCTCCATCGCTGAAAACGATGCCAAACGTTGGAAAGAATGACCTGAAAGCATTGCTGAGAAGCCGACCAAAGACTCGCCACTCGCAAGAAACAAGACATTCCCCCCAAGACGAATCTATGACAATATATTTTCATACAAACCACACAGTTCGGTCACGCGTTCACATAAGTTTATTTTCCTTTTTCTTGACAATCCGCACGCCTTCAAAGCGAAACCAAAAAAAAAAAAGCAAAAACCTAGAATCAGTGCTTGTTTACAAATGCAAAATAAAATAGTTTTGTCCAATAAATTATTTATTCCCCCCAAACCGAGTATCAAAAAGTGCAAAATATCCGGCGCTCTTTCAAAACCAACCAGAGGATCAGAAGGACGTTGCGAGTACCAAAGGGCATAACCATAAATGTATATCCAATGCTTCACTGGATGGGTTCGGTTGCCTTTGGCCGAAATGTATACGCATTCAAACGAACCTTTATCATCATTGCGTATCTTTTAATGATAGATCTAAACGCATTATCTATTGTACAGAGTTCATTCAGAGCTTGCAATCCTTACTATTATTACTCAGCGGGACTACAACTCCCAGGGTTCTGCTTTGACTGCTACGGTGACAACCCTACGAAGTATTAGAATGTATAGATTAGATACATATCTTATTATCTATACATATGAGTCGACATATGGATGTATGTGTTTGTACCAGAAAGGCTGTGGCTGGGTGAAGTGGCCCTCTGGGATGTCACTGGGAAAGAAAAGCAGAGTGTCTGAGAGGAAGGAAGGAAAGAGCAACGAATGGGTGTTGCCATGAACACAGTGTAAGGCAAGTCTCAGAGCTGGAGAAGGGAGAAATCAAGCCTTTTCAGAACTGGAGAAGGGAGAAAGTAAGCCTTCTTAGACCTGGAGAAGGGAGAAAGCAAGGCCTCCCAGAGCTGGGGAAGGGAGAAAGTAAGCCTCAGAGTTAGAGGAGAAAGTAAGCCTTCTCAGAGCTGGAGAAAATAAATCTTCTCAGAGCTGGAGAAGGGAGAAAGTAGACCTGGGAAAGCTAAACCTTCTAAGAGCAGGAGAAAGTAAGAATTCTTAGACCTGGAGGAGGGAAAAAGCAAGCCTTCTCAGAGCTGGAGAAGGGAAAAAATAAGCCTTAGATAAAGAAGGAAGAAAGTAAGCCTTTTCAGAACTGGAGAAGGGAGAAAGCAAGGCCTCCCAGAGCTGGGGAAGGGAGAAAGTAAGCCTCAGAGTTAGAGGAGAAAGTAAGCCTTCTCAGAGCTGGAGAAAATAAATCTTCTCAGAGCTGGAGAAGGGAGAAAGTAGACCTGGGAAAGCTAAACCTTCTAAGAGCAGGAGAAAGTAAGAATTCTTAGACCTGGAGGAGGGAAAAAGCAAGCCTTCTCAGAGCTGGAGAAGGGAAAAAATAAGCCTTAGATAAAAAAGGAAGAAAGTAAGCCTTTTCAGAACTGGAGAAGGGAGAAAGCAAGGCCTCCCAGAGCTGGGGAAGGGAGAAAGTAAGCCTCAGAGTTAGAGGAGAAAGTAAGCCTTCTCAGAGCTGGAGAAAATAAATCTTCTCAGAGCTGGAGAAGGGAGAAAGTAGACCTGGGAAAGCTAAACCTTCTAAGAGCAGGAGAAAGTAAGAATTCTTAGACCTGGAGGAGGGAAAAAGCAAGCCTTCTCAGAGCTGGAGAAGGGAAAAAATAAGCCTTAGATAAAGAAGGAAGAAAGTAAGCCTTCTCAGAGCTGGAGAAGGGAGAAAGCCTTCTTAGACCTGGGAACGATAAAGCTTAGATCAGGAGAAAGTAGGAATTTTTAGACATGAAGAAGGAAGAAAGCAAGCCTTCTCGGAGCTGGAGAAGGAGAAAGTAAGCCGCAGTTAGAGAAGGAAGAAAGTAAGACTTTTTAGGGCTGGAGAAGGGAGAAAGTCTTCTTAGACATGGGAAAAATAAACCTTCTTAGAGCAGGAGAAAGTAAGAATTTTTAGACCTGAAGGAGGGAGAAAGCAAGCCTTCTCAGAGTTGTAGAAGGGAGAAAGTAAGCCTCAGAGTTAGAGAAGAAAGTAAGCATTCTCAGAGCTGGAGAAGGGAGAAAGCCTTCTTAGACATGGGAAAAGTAAACCTTCTTAGAGGAGAAAGCAAGAATTCTTAGACCTGAAGGAGGGAGAAAGCAAGCCTTCTCAGAGCTGGAGAAGGAGAAAGTAAGCCGCAGTTAGAGAAGGAAGAAAGTATGACTTTTCAGAGCTGGAGAAGGGAGAAAGCCTTCTTAGATCTGGGAAAGATAAAGCTTAGATCAGGAGAAAGTAGGAATTTTTAGACATGAAGAAGGAAGAAAGCAAGCCTTCTCGGAGCTGGAGAAGGGAGAAAGTAAGCTTCAGTTAGAGAAGGAAGAAAGTAAGCCTTCTCAGAGCTGGAGAAGGGAGAAAGCCTTCTTAGACATGGGAAAGGGAAACCTTTTTAGAGTAGGAGAAAGTAAGAATTCTTAGACTTGATGTAAGGAGAAAGCAAGCCTTCTCGGAGCTGGAGCAGGGAGAAAGTAAGCCTCAGAGTTAGAGAAGAAAGTAAGCATTCTCAGAGCTGGAGAAGGGAGAAAGCCTTCTTAGACCTGGGAAAGATAAAGCTTAGATCAGGAGAAAGTAGGAATTTTTAGACCTGAAGAAGGGAGAAAGCAAGCCTTCTCGGAGCTGGAGAAGGGAAAAATCTTGGAGCTGGAGAAGGGAGAAAGTAAGCCTCAGAGTTAGAGGAGAAAGCAAACCTTCTCAGAGCTGGAGAAGGGAGGAAGCCTTCTTAGACATGGGACAAGTAAACCTTCTTAGAGCAGGAGAAAGTTAAGAATTTTTAGACCTGGAGAAGGGAGAAAGTACGCCTTCTCGGAGCTGGAGAAGGGAGAACATAGGGAGGAACTGACAGGTACACATGTGGACATGATATATAATATGAAGTAATATAATAGACCTAGTCTATACTTTCTCCCTTCTCCATTCTCTACCTGTCTCCAGGAAAACATATCTCTCCTTCCTCCCTTCCTCTCCTACACAGGTCACCTTTCTTTCCCAGTGACAACACAGAGGGCCACTCCACTGAGTAATGGACACCCTAGTGATATCACAGAAGGCCACTTCACCTAGCCATTGTGGCACAAACAGATGAACATACGTATATTCACGCATAGAGAGAGGCGTCATCTGCATATTTATGGATCTACGAAATGCCCTCAAAACGACTGGGGATTTCACCCTGATTTGGACGCGGCAGTGCACAGTCAGACATAATTCGTCCACGTACTGAAGGCGGACGGCTCCGAAGTCGGCAAATCCTTCCGAAGCAGATTCAAGCTCAGTGGAATCGTTTAAGTCCCCGCAAGGAGAAATCTAGCCTCTCAAGGGAGTGTTTCCAAAGAATCAAGAGAATTGAAAAAAAAGGGAAAATGGACGCAGATCCTTCCGAAGCTTGAATCAAGCTCAGTGGAATCGTTTAAGCTCGAAGTCCCCGCAAGGAGAAATCTAGCCTCTCAAGGGAGTGTTTCCAAAGAATCAAGAGAATTGAAAAAAAGGGAAAATGGACGATTTCGTACTCTATGTCCTCACATGTAGAAATCTAGCCTCTCCAAGGCAACGCTTGATCACCAACAACCCAAGGTTTGCATGAACCTGAAACCATTGATTTCGTCTGCGCAGTTTAAGTAGAAAACAAACAAACAAACCGTGTATTATATTGATTATAGGGAATGGCAGGATCAACAGCAATAAGGCAGCCTCGCAGTTTTCTAAACAAACTGGCATCTTCCCAAAAAAAAAAGGCTTACATTCGGAAGGGAAAAATATTCGGCAGGAGGAAAACCGCGCATTTTGGCTCGTCGTCGCCCGCAAGATCCGTAACGGGCAGTTTCTGGACGGAGGTTAAGAAGGGTAATTTTTAAAAAGTTTTTCCTCTTCTTTTGATTGGCTCGTAGCAGCTTTGTATGGCTCCAAAATAGAAGTAAAGGACGCACACATCTTAATGGAGAGTTTCGCTGGCTTGGGTTTCCCCAAAAATGTGGATTTATTGCATTCGTGGGAGGGATTGTGGCCTCGCAATCCACCGAAGGAGGCCCTTCGCTAAAGCGGAGAAACATCTCTTATATTAAGCCGTCTCGAGAAATGGGTTGGTTTTCATGCGAGGGAAGAGATGCCCAAACTCCGAGTCAAACAGAACTGAGACAGAAGAAAAGAGGACGAAACTAAAATCCACGCAAAATTGTTCTGCGGTAGCAGCAACGAGGGTGAGAAAAACACCCCAGAAAACAACGACACGAAGATGGCAGGAGGCGATGAGAGCGGAGATCCGTTTACTCGTCGGTCCGACGACAGAGCTGTCTAAAAAGGATGAAAACCGGGACGCGACGAGAGCGAGTATCCGTCTGCCCGTCGGTCCGACGATAGAGCTGTCTAAAAAGGACGAAGACCGGGATGCGACGAGAGCGAGTATCCGTTTGCTCGTCGGTCCAACGATAGAGCTGTCTAAAAAGGACGAAGACCGGGATGCGACGAGAGCGAGTATCCGTTTGCTCATCAGTCTGACAATAGAGCTTTCTAAAAAGCTACGACCCCTTTTCGGACAGGACGAAAATTGGGATGCAACAAGAGCGAGTATCCTTTTGCCCGTCGGTCCAACGATAGAGCTGTCTAAAAAGGACGAAAACCGGAACGAGACGAGAGTGAGTATCCGTTTGCTCGTCGGTCCGACGATAGAGCTGTCTGAAAAGCTCTACCGCCCCATTTTCGACAGGACCAAAATTGGGATGCAACGAGAGCGAGTATCCGTTTGCCTGTTGGTCCGACGATAGAGCTGTCTAAAAAGGACGAAAACTGGGATGCGACGAGAGCGAGTATCTGTTTGTTTGTCGGCCCAATGATAGAGCTGTCTAAAAAGGACGAAAACCAGGACGTGACGAGAGCGAGTATCCATTTGCTCGTCGGTCCGATGATAGAACTGTCTGAAAAGCTACCGCCCCTTTTTCGACAGGACCAAAATTGGGACGCAACGAGAGCTAGTATCTGTTTCCTCGTTGGCCCGACAATAGAGCTGTCTAAAAAGGATGAAAACCGGAACGCGACGAGTGCGAGTATCCATTTGCCCGTCAGTCCGACGATAGAGCTGTCTAAAAAGGACGAAAACCGGGACGCGACGAGAGCAAATATCCGTTTGCTCGTCGGCCCGACGATAAATCCGTCCGATGGATGCTTCAGTCTAGCGCTGGCCAAGAAGGGAGGTAGAACCTCTGCAAGGAGCCCTCTAAGAGCCGCTCCATCCACAAGGCAAGTCGGTTGAGTTTCCGCTTGGCGAGCCGGGCCTGCGGGCTGGAGGAGGAAGAGGACGCCTTGCCCCGGTCGGGTTGCTCCTCCTCCCCGGGACGGGGCTCTGTGCCGCCGACAGTGCTGCCCTCCTCCCCGCGGCGCGGCTTGAAGAGGCAGAAGTACTTCTTGTGGCCGTTGAGGGCCAGGACGTGGCCGGCGTAGTCCCGCTCCAGGAAGTGCTTGTCGTACTGGTTGGGGATGGGGGCCGCGTCCTGGGCGAACTCCAACACCGTCTCCAGCCACTCGCGGTGCTTGTCCAGGTTGAGGAAGGAGAAGTGCAGGGTGCTGCTCCTGTGAGGAGGGAAAGGGAGCAACGTTAGCATCCGGGGGGATCAGAGTCTCCTCCTCTAGAGCAGTGTTTCTCAACCTGGGGGTCGCGACCCCTGTGGGGGTCACGAGGGGGCGTGAGAGGGGTCGCCAAAGACCATCAGAAAACACAGTATTTTCTGTTGGTCATGGGGGTTCCGTGTGGGAAGTTTGGGGCAATTCTATCATTGGTGGGGTTCAAGGGGCTCTTTGATTGTAGGTGAACTATAAATCCCAGCAGCTACAACTCCCAAATGTCAAGGTCTATTTTCCCCAAACCCCACCAGTGTTCACATTTGGCCATATTGAGTATTTGTACCAAGTTTGGTCCAGATCCATCCTTCTTTGAATCCACAGTGCTCTCGAGATGTAGGTGAACTACAACTCTCAAACTCAATGCCCACCAAATCCTTCTAGTATTTTCTGTTGGTCATGGGAGAACTGTGTGCCAAGTGTGGTTCAATTCCATCATTGATGGGGTTCAGAATGCTCTTTGATTGTAGGTGAACTACAAATCCCAGCAACTACAACTCCCAAATGACAAAATCAATATTTTTTGAGTGAAGGACATACATTGGGTTGTTAGGTGTCTTGTCTCCAAATTTGGTGTCAATTTGTCCAGTGGTTTTTGCGTTCTGTTAACCCCACAAACGAACATTACATTTTTATTTATATAGATTGCTTGGTCCCATAACCAGGTTTTGAGTTTATATGATATAATAATAATAATAACAACAACAATAATAATTTATAATTTATAATAATGGACAATAATTTAACAGTAATTCTATTTTTCTTTATGAATTAGTCTAATAATAATAAATAATTCAACAACATCACAGCACAAGGAGAGAGAATACACTGTACATGACTTCCTTATATACAATTCATTTACACATAGCAATCAAGTCTAATAATAATTAATTATAATAATGGACAATAATTTAACAGTAATTCTATTTTTCTTTATGAATCTTAGTCTAATAATAATAAATTATAATAATGAGTAATAATTTAACAATAATTCTATTTTTCTTTATGAATCTTAATTCTAATAATAATAATAATTTATAATAATGGATAATAATTATAAGTTATTCCTTTTGTACTGTGAAGGGGTAATAATAATAATAATAATAAAATAATAATAATAATAATAATAAATTATAATAATGGACAATAATTTAACAGTAATTCCATTTTTCTTTATGAATCTTAGTCCAATAATAATAATAAATTATAATAATGGAGCATAATTTAATAGTAAGGGGGTTGGACTAGAACCGTGATGGTGAACCTATGACACGTGTCTCAGCACTGACACGCATCACTGGACTACAACAACAACAACCACAACCACAACCACAACCACAACAACATAATAATAATAATAGTTATAATAAAGCATAATAATATTTTCCAGTAATTCCATTTTTCTTTATGAATCTTAGTCTAATAATAATAATAAATTATAATAATGAGTAATAATTTAACAATAATTCTATTTTTCTTTATGAATCTTAATCCTAATAATAATAATAAATTATAATAATGGATAATAATTATCCATTATGATGGTGAACCTATGACACGCGGATCAGCACTGACACACATCACTGGACTAGAACAACAACAACCACAACCACAACCACAACAACCTAATAATAATAATAATAATAATAATAGTTATAATAAAGGATAATAATATTTTCCAGTAATTCTATTTTTCTTTATGAATCTTAGTCTAATAATAATAAATTATAATAATGGATAATAATTTAATAGTAAGGGGGTTGGAGTAGAGCCATGATGGTGAACCTATGACACGCGTCTCAGCACTGACACGCATCACTGGACTAGAACAACCACAACCACAACCACAACAACCTAATAATAATAATAATAATAATAATAATAATAATAATAGTTATAATAAATGATAATAATTTAATAGTAAGGGGGTTGGAGTAGAACCATGATGGTGAACCTGACACGCGGATCAGCACTGACACGCATCACTGGACTACAACAACCACAACCACAACCACAACAACCTAATAATAATAATAATAATAATAATAATAATAGTTATAATAAATGATAATAATTTAATAGTAAGGGGGTTGGAGTAGAACCATGATGGTGAACCTGACACGCGGATCAGCACTGACACGCATCACTGGACTAGAACAACCACAACCACAACCACAACCACAACCACAACAACCTAATAAGAATGATAATAATAATAGTTATAATAAAGGAGACGAGACGCACCCGGTGAAGGAGTAGACTTCGAGGGCGAACTTCTGGAGCAGAGGGGTCTTGGTGGCGTTGGAGAGGACCAGCACCACGTTCATGTGCCCGGGCCTCAGGCGCACCAGGTTGCTGGTGTAGGTGATGTCCGTCAGCTCCGTCACCTCCACAAAGCCCTTCTTGGGCATCCTGCGTGCAAAGACAGACAGACATACGTTGTTGTTGTCGTCCTCGTCCCCCCAGACCTCCGCTTGGACCCCAAACGCAAACCCTGGGGGAGAGACCTGCTCTCTTTGTGGACACCGGTGTCGTTCCTCTCGCTCTTGGAAGGACCCTCTTCCTTCTTGGGCGGAGGAGAATCCCGCTCGTCACTCGAGTCGCTGGAAAAAAAACAATCTCTGAGAGATAGTTTTCCTAATAGGACACCAAACCGTACTGTCCTAACTGTTCGCCAGGTTAGATGGAACCCTAGAGTTGGAGGAGAACCCCAAGGGCCATCCAGTCCAACCTGTTTCTAGGAAGACACTGTCTGATCCCTCCCGGAAGATGGCTACCCAGCCTCTGATTCAAAATCCTGAAGAATCTCCTTCTTCTCCTTCACCTTCTCCTTCACCTCCTCCTCCCTTCTCCTCCTTCACCTTCTCCTTCCTTCTCCTCCTTCACCTTCTCCTTCACCTTCTCCTTCCTTCTCCTTCTCCTTTCCCTTCTCCTTCCTTCTCTCCTTCTTCTCCTTCCTTCTCCTTCCTTCTCCTTCTTCTCCTTCACCTTCTCCTCCCTTCTCCTTCACCTCCTCCTCCCTTCTCCTCCTTCACCTTCTCCTCCCTTCTCCTCCTTCACCTTCTCCTTCCTTCACCTTCTCCTTCACCTTCTCCTTCCTTCTCCTCCTTCACCTTCTCCTTCCTTCTCCTTCACCTTCTTCTCCTTCACCTTCTCCTTCCTTCTCCTTCACCTTCTCCTTCTCCTTCCTTCTCCTTCACCTTCTCCTTCACCTCCTCCCTTCTCCTCCTTCACCTTCTCCTTCCTTCTCCTCCTTCTCCTTCTCCTTCTTCTCCTTCACCTTCTCCTCCCTTCTCCTTCACCTCCTCCTCCCTTCTCCTCCTTCACCTTCTCCTCCCTTCTCCTCCTTCACCTTCTCCTTCCTTCTCCTTCACCTTCTCCTTCCTTCTCCTTCACCTTCTCCTTCACCTTCTCCTTCCTTCTCCTCCTTCACCTTCTCCTTCCTTCTCCTTCACCTTCTTCTCCTTCACCTTCTCCTTCCTTCTCCTTCACCTTCTCCTTCTCCTTCCTTCTCCTTCACCTCCTCCTCCCTTCTCCTCCTTCACCTTCTCCTCCCTTCTCCTCCTTCACCTTCTCCTTCCTTCTCCTTCACCTTCTCCTTCACCTTCTCCTTCCTTCTCCTCCTTCACCTTCTCCTTCCTTCTCCTTCTCCTTCCTTCTCCTCCTTCACCATCTCCTTCCTTCTCCTTCACCTTCTCCTTCACCTTCTCCTTCCTTCTCCTCCTTCACCTTCTCCTTCCTTCTCCTTCACCTTCCCCTTCACCTTCTCCTTCCTTCTCCTCCTTCACCTTCTCCTTCCTTCTCCTTCACCTTCTTCTCCTTCACCTTCTCCTTCCTTCTCCTTCACCTTCTCCTTCCTTCTCCTTCACCTTCTCCTTCACCTCCTCCTCCCTTCTCCTCCTTCACCTTCTCCTCCCTTCTCCTCCTTCACCTTCTCCTTCCTTCTCCTTCACCTTCTCCTTCACCTTCTCCTTCCTTCTCCTCCTTCACCTTCTCCTTCCTTCTCCTTCTCCTTCCTTCTCCTCCTTCACCATCTCCTTCCTTCTCCTTCACCTTCTCCTTCACCTTCTCCTTCCTTCTCCTCCTTCACCTTCTCCTTCCTTCTCCTTCACCTTCTCCTCCTTCACCTTCTCCTTCTTCTCCTTCACCTCCTCCTCCCTTCTTCACCTTTTCCTTCACCTTCTGCTGCTGCTTCTTCTTCTTATCATTTATTATTATTATTATTAATTATTATTATTATTATTAATTATTTTTAAACTCATAACGGCCATCCAATCCAACCCCATCTGCCAGGCAGAAAGATAATAATAATAATAATAATAATAATAATAATAATAAATTACAATAATTGATAATAATATAATATTAATTCTATTATATTATTATCAATTATTGTAATTTATTATTATTTTATTATATTATTGTTATTATTATTATTAATAATAATAACAATATAGATAGAAGGATAGAATTGTTATATTATTATTTGTTGTAATAATAATAATTATTATTATTATTATTATTCTCATAGAGCTGGAAGGAACCCCATAGGCCATCCAGTCCAACGCCTTTCTGCCATAAAGGAAGATATAATAATTACTATTAAATCATTATCAATTAATACTATAATGTCTTATTATTATTATTATTAATATTATTAGACTCATAGGGTTGGAAGGAACCTCAAAGGCCATCCAGACCAATCCCCTTCTGCCATAAAGGAAGATATAATAATTACTATTAAATCATTATTAGTTAATACTATAATGTCTTATTATTATTATTATTAATATTATTAGACTCATAGGGTTGGAAGGAACCCCAAAGGCCATCCAGACCAATCCCCTTCTGCCATAAAGGAAGATATAATAATTACTATTAAATCATTATCAATTAATTTATAATGTATTATTATAATGTATTATTATTATTATTATTATTATTATTATTATTATTACTATTATTACTATTACTATACTCATAGGGTTGGAGGGAACCCCAAAGGCTATCCAGTTCAACCACATCTGCCAGGCAGAAAGATAGAATTAATATTATATTATTATCAATTATTGTAATTTATTATTATTATTATTATTATTATTATTATTATTATTATTAACAATAGCAATATAGATAGGATAGAATTATTATATTATTTGTTATTATTATTATTATTATTATTATTATTATTATTCTCATAGAGTTGGAAGGGACCCCATAGACCATCCGGTCCAACCCCCTTCTGCCATAAAGGAAGATATAATAATTACTATTAAATCATTATTAGTTAATATTATAATGTCTTATTATTATTATTATTATTATTATTAATATTAATAATAATAATAGACTCATAGGGTTGGAAGGAACCCTAAAGGCCATCCGGTCCAACCCCCTTCTGCCATAAAGGAAGATATAATAATTACTATTAAATCATTCTCAATTAATTTATAATGTATTATTATTATTATTATTATTATTATTATTAAACTCACAAAGGCCATCCAATCCAACCCCATCTGCCAGGCAGAAAGATAAAATTAATATTATATTATTATCAATTATTGTAATTTATTATTATTATTATTATTATTATTATTATTATTATTATTATTATTAACAATAGCAATATAGATAGAAGGATAGAATTATATTATTTGTTATTATTATTATTATTATTATTATTATTATTATTATTCTCATAGAGTTGGAAGGGACCCCATAGACCATCCAGTCCAACCCCCTTCTGCCATAAAGGAAGATATAATAATTACTATTAAATCATTACCAGTTAATATTATACTGTATTATCATTATTATTATTATTAATAATAATAATAATAATAATAATAATAATAACAATAATAGACTCATAGGGTTGGAAGGAATCCCAAAGGCCATCCGATCCAACCCCCTTCTGCCATAAAGGAAGATATAATAATTACTATTAAATCATTATCAATTAATACTATATTTTATTGTTATTTCTCTTGTTGTTGTTGTTATTGTTATTATTGTTGTTGTTGTTGTTGTTGTTGTTGTTGTTGTACCTGAAAGCCTGAACGATGACCGTCCCGAAGAGGATGAAGAGGGCCGAGAAAATCAAGGACAAGAGAGGCATCATTTCTCTCCTGGAAGAGAGGCAGAATAATAATAATAATAATAATAATAATAATAATAATAATAATAATAATAGAATCCTAGAGTTGAAAGGGACCCCCAAGGGCCATCTACCCTGACTCCTTTCTGCCTGGCAGAACAACAAACAACACCTGATCCCTCCTGACAAATGGCCATCCAAGCTCTGCTAATAATAATAATAATAATAATAATAATAATAATAATAATAATAGAATCCTAGAGTTGGAAGAGAGCCCCAAATGTCATCCAGTCTGACCCCGTTCTGCCAGGCAAGCATCACCCGATCCTTCCCAAGAGATGACCATCCAAACTCTTCTTCTAATAATAATAAACATTAATGCTGATCATGGTAACAATAACTACTAGAATTTCTATTGTCATAGGAACTCTGTTACAAAACAGGAGCTTTTTTGTTGAGTTCCAGGGTCAGAAAAACTGATGGCGGAAACAGAAGAATGGCCTGCCTCAGGGGAGCGTGCTTGCTCCATCCATGTTCAACATCTACACAAATGACCAGTGTGGGGCGTAACATTGCACATCACTGAATACGTGATGCCACACCACATATGTAGTTTTCTGTCACCACTTTAATACCTGGGACGTACTCTGTTTCTGTCCTTTTACAGGTGCTTTTCTTCTTGACTCAGTGAGGGGAAAAAGAATTTCCTTTCTAAATCCCTTTACTGCCTTGTCCTGCTGCAGTTTCCCTTTTTAAATTGGCTGGGGCTTTCTTGTGAGCTGTTAAACCTTTGTGCTTTATATCACAGGCTTGAGACACTCCGGTAAGCAACCAAGTAACAAAGTTTATTTATAGCTTCTGGTTCCAATGCTTTATGGTTACACTTGTATTTTGTTAGTCTCGAGTCTTACATTCAGTATCATTCACTCAGTTGACTTTTCTTATGAAACTCTCACTGTCTCACATCAACGAATATGTTACTTTCTTCATATACTCTTGGCTGACCTATATTCTGACTTAGGCCACACTGGCGCCTTTTTATTTTTCCTTAAACCTTGAGCTCTATTTCCCGACTGCCTCTTTCAAACTTTATTTATTTATTTATTTATTTATTTATTATTTGAACGTATATGCCGCCACTCCCCTGGGGCTCAGAGCGGCTTACAAGAATGGCTAAAATCTAACAAAATTTAAAAGCAATTTAAAACAATTTAAAAACAGCAATATCAAACATTAAAAGCCTGTCGAAACAGGTATGTCTTACATGCCCTGCGGAAAGCTGGTAAGTCCCGCAAGGCACAGACTTCAGGTGGCAGAGTATTCCAGAGTGATGGTGCCACTGCTGTGAAGGCTCTGCGTCTGGTTGCTGTTAGACGCAAGGTCTTGACACTGGGAATTTCCAATAGATCTTGGTCCTCAGAACGGAGGGATCTCTGGGGTTGGGAGAGGGTGAGGTGGTCCCTCAGGTATATGGGCCCCAGACCATGCAAGGCCTTCAAGGTGAGGACCATCCCTTTGAAAGTGATCCAGTGCTCAATTGGTAACCAACGCAGCTGTAGTAAGATTGGGGTGATGTGGCATCTCATCGGAGTTCCCGCAAGAAGCCGAGCAGCTGCATTTTGTACCAACTTGAGCTTCCGGATCACCGACAGAGGAAGGCCAATGTAGAGGGCGTTACAGTAGTCCAGTCTTGAGATGACCGTGGCCTGGATCACCGTAGCCAGGTCGTCCCTGGACAGGGAGGGGGCCAGCCGTCTAGCCTGCCGCAGGTGAAAGAAGGCAGTTCTGCTCACGGCGGAGAGAGACCTGGGCCTCCATCATGAGCAGAGGGTCCAAAAGGACTCCTAGGCTCTTGACCAGCGGTGATGGGCGTAACGCCTCGCCATCCAGGGTAGGCAGCTGGATATCCCCACTGCCCGGTCGACCCAGCCAGAGGATCTCCGTCTTTGCCGGATTCACCCTCAACCTGCTGGCACGCAGCCATCCAGTAATGGCCTCAAGTCACTGATGGAAACAATCGGGTACAGAGTCCGGTCGGCCTTCCATCTTCAGCACCAGCTGAGTGTCATCCGCGTACTGGTAACACTCCAGCCCAAAACCTTGAACCAGCTGAGCAAGTGGTTGCATATAGATGTCAAACAACAGAGGGGAGAGAATGGTCCCGAGGAACCCCACAAGACAGAGGGGACCTCTCGGAGACCAGGCCTCCCCTCTCCAGTCGCTGTCCATGGTTGTGAAGAAAGGAGGACAGCCAGTTTAAAGTTTTCTGTCACCACTTTAATACCTGGGACTCTGTTTCTGTCCTTTTACAGGTGCTTTTCTTCTTGACTCAGTGAGGGGAAAAAGAATTCCCTTTCTAAATCCCTTTACCGCCTTAGAATCATAGAATCATAGAATCAAAGAGTTGGAAGAGACCTCATGGGCCATCCAGTCCAACCCCCTACCAAGAAGCAGGAATATTGCCTTGTACTGCTGCAGTTTCTCTTTTTAAATTGGCTGGGGCTTTCTTGTGAGCTGTTAAACCGTTGTGCTTTATATCACAGGTTTGAGACACTCTGGTAAGCAACCAAGTAACAAAGTTTATTTATAGCTTCTGGTTCCAATGCTCTATTTCCCAACTGCTTCTCTCTAACCGAGGTTCCTAACAGCTCCCTTTTTTTTTAACTCACAAACTCTAACTGCCTCTTTCAAACTTGACTCCGCCTCTTTTAGAATGTTCAGTTCCGTAACTGCCATTCTGGCTCAAATCCTGGCATACTCTCATCTGCATACGACCAGTCGGCTTCACATATGCAAATTAATCCTGCCTTCACTGTTGCTACCCTATTTGAGCCAATTCTTCCCTATCAACCATATTGTAACCTAGAGCTACACACCAAAAATACAACATAGATCATAAAATTCACTACAACCAGCTACTGCCAGAAGGGACAGAGAGTTTCATCTATGCTGATGACCATGCCATCACCGCTCAAAGCAGGGAGTTTTGAAATGGTTGAACAGAAGCTCTCCAAACCCAAGTCGATATCAAAGGCTCACCAGTTGCTGTGGAAGAGACTGTCCCAGCAGTCGGAGAAGTAGTCAACGCTGGAATAGATCCATCGCAGGAAGAAAACCTACCGAAGAAGGATGAGAGTGAATTAGAGGGATGAGAGAGAGAGAGAGAGAGAGATGAGAAATGGGTGAGAGACAATGAGAGATATCTAGATGACAAATGAGAGAAGAGTTGAATGAAAAGTAATGCCTCCACCTTCAAAACTCCTCAACAGATGGCAGTACTGGTATGCGGCAGGTACTGGCTTGTTCAGTAGACTCTCCTCTACAGTTCCATTTTGGCAAGAAGCCGTAGCATTGAACAGACCTTCGTAACTCCTGAATAGATGGCAGTACTGGTATGTGGCCAGTACTGGCTTGTTCAGTAGACTCTCCTCTACAGTTCCATTTTGACAGGAAGCCTTAGCATTGAACGGACTTTCGTAACTCCTGAATAGATGGCAGTAGTGGTAGGCGGCAGGTACTGGCTTGTTCAGTACTCTCTTGTACAGTTCCATTTTGCCGGGAAGCCTGAGCATTGTACGGACTTTCGTAACTCCTGAATAGATGGCAGTACCGGTATGCGGCTGCCCAAATGGTAGGGCCGGGAGGGCAGCCCTCCGCCTGCCCCCCGCACCCTTCCCAGCTGGGAAAGGTGCAGGGGTCGGGCAGAAAGGCTGCCCAAATGGCAGGGCTGGGAGGGCAGCCCTCCGCCTCCCCCCTGCGCCCTTCCCAGCTGGGAAAGGCGCGGGGGTCGGGCAGAAAAACTGCCCAAACGGTAGGGCCGGGAGGACAGCCCTCCGCCTGCCCCTCGCACCCTGCTCTAACGGCAAGGCGCGCCATTTCCTGCAAGCTCCTCCTCTTGGCACCACACAGCCCTGTGGGAAGAGCAGGAGGAGGAGCTGATCAGGAGTGCTAGCTTTTTGGCTGGTACAGGGGGGCGGCAGCCATTTTGGAGGGGGCGGGGCCATCCAAGGCAGCTTCACGACCTCCTGAAAATGGCCCTACGACCCTCCTGGGGGTTGCGAACCCCAGGTTGAGAACCGCTGCTATAAGCCCAATAGTCTCTCCTCAAACTCCTTTCAAAGGAAATGCCACACAATGAAACAGGAAATAACACTTTCAAACGAGGAATAGATTTTCCTTTTCAGCTTTTGTGATGTAGCGCTATTCCTTGGCCAAAGGACTTACGGGTGCGAGTTCGTCGTTCAGGTCCATCAGGACGGCGTCGCCAGAGAGGAAGCCCGGCTCTGTCCGCAGCTGACCCAACAGATCCAGAAGCAGGAAGTGATCGTCTTCACTTCCGAGCCAGGGATCTTCCAGGGCCTTGTAGGCCACCCTCCCGACGTCGTTGCGCCGCTCCAGGATGACCACCTGAAGAAAAGAATATAGTGTGTCTATCGTATCTATGGCTGGATGGTCATCTGTCAGGAGGAATTGGATGGTGTCTTACTTTACGGCCTTTGGGGTCTCTCCTGACTCTAGGATCCTATCATCATCTATATATATAAAAATACTCTGTTCGTTCTGAGTGACATCGTAACTCAAAATCCGCTGGACAAACTACTGCCAAATTTGGCCACAAGACACCTACTAACCCAAGGAGTGACCATCGCTCAAAAAATTGATTTTGTCATTTGGGAGTTGTAGTTGCTGGGATTTATAGTTCACCTACCATCAAAGAGCATTCTGAACTCTACCAACAATGGAATTGAACCAAACTTGGCACACAGGACTCCCATGACCAACAGAAAATACCAGAAGGGTTTGGTGGTCATTGACCTTGGGTTTTGGAGTTTCGGTTCACCTACATCCAGAGAGCACTGTGGACTGAAACAATGAAGGATCTGGATCACACTTGGCCCAAATACCCCATATGCCCAAATATGTACACAGATGGAGTTTGGGGGAAATAGGAGCTTTCTGTCTTATGATCGGGCATCAAGCATTCTGCTTTAGCGTTTTGCCTTTTGTATTGACAACTGCCCCGCGTGTTTCTACTAAGTGTATGGCTATCATATCTGTGGCTGGATGGCCATCTGTTGGGAGGACTTTGATGGTATTTTCCTTTATGGCAGAAGCGGGTTGGACTGGGGTCTTCTTCTTATGATAGATATGGAACCTACTTTATCTATCTATCAAGGGTACTTTTTGTGCTTTTCCTGCATAGCAAAGGGTTGGACTAGATGGCTCATGAGGTCTCTTCTAACTCTATTATTTTATAACGGATCTCCGAATGGATCTTCCTTTATGTCCCACCCCGGAGTCTTCCGGGGAGGCTTCCGGGGAGGCCCTGCTCTCGACCCCGCCTCTATCACAAGTGAGGTTGGCAGGGACGAGGAGCAGGGCCTTCTCGGTGGTGGCCCCTCACCTGTGGAATTCACTCCCCGGGGAAATTAGATCTGCAACATCGCTCCTTTCCTTCAGGAAAAAACTGAAAACATAGATTTGGGACCAGGCATTCGGACAATCGGGCAGACGAAGAAAGAACTTTGACGATGATTAGGAAATGATTAATGGATTAGTACTATGGAACTCTGAAAGACGGAACGCTGAGCACGAGAGTCGTTTTTATATGATTTTTATATGATGTGTTATGTACTAGTTGTGGACTGTTTTAATTGTGATAACTGTTTTTAACTTTGGTTTTTGTATATTTTGTGTAAAGTGTATAGGCATCAAATTGTGCCTTTTTTGTAAGCCGCCCCGAGTCCTCCCTCGGGGGTTGAGAAGGGCGGGGTAAAAGTACCTGTGATAATAAATAAATAAATAAATAACCATGGCTGGACGGTCATCTGCCAGAAGGGATCAGATGGTGTCTTCCTTTATGGCAGAAAAGGGTTGTACTGGTTGGCCTTTGGGGGTGTCTTACAACTCTAGGATTCTATGATACAGAATATCTATCTATCTATCTATCCATCCATCCATCCATCCATCCATCCATCCATCCATCCATCCATCCATCTATCTATCATATCCATGGCTGGATGGCCCTCTGTCAGGAGGGAACGGATGCTGTCTTTCTAGTGCACTCACCGCCGACTTCCCCCAGAGTCCCTCCTGGTTGGGGAGCAAGGTGTGGACAAACTGCTGCTGGTAGTTGCTGTAGATGTGGACAAACCTCAGGGTGTCCTTGGTGTTGGCCAGGGCAAAGGCCAAGAAGGCTTCGTAGCCGGCCTCGTACTTCTGCCCCTCGCCCGTGATCAGCACCACGCAGTACCTGGGCAGCGAGGAGAAAGGGAAGAAACGCCATTTTGTTGAATGAATAAAATTGTATGATTGGGGTCTGGCCAACAATTTCCTCCCACCCATGATACAATAGACTCCTGTAAAGATTTAATTTACTAACAAAGCTCCGTACACGCTCTGGTCACATCCTGCCTTGACTACTGCAATGCTCTCTACGTGGGGCTGCCCTTGAAAACGGCCCAGAAGCTTCAGCTAGTCCAGCGCGCGGCAGCCATGTTACTAACAGGAGCGGGACGCAGGGAGCACACAACGCTCTGCAACGCTCTCTACGGGGGGCTGCCCTTGAAGACGGCCCGGAAGCTCCAGCTAGTCCAGCGCGCGGCAGCCATGTTACTAACAGGAGCGGGACGCAGGGAGCACAACGCCCTTGTTGTTCCAGCTCCACTGGCTGCCGATCTGCTACCGGGCCCAATTCAAGGTGCTGGTGTTGGCCTACAAAGCCCTAAACGGTTCCGGCCCAAAATACCTTCTGACCGCATCTCGGCCTATGAGCCCACGAGGACCTTGAGATCGTCTGGGGAGGCCCTTCTCTCGATCCCGCCTGCCTCACAGGCACGTCTTGCGGGGACGAGGGATAGGGCCTTCTCGGTGGTGGCCCCCCGGCTGTGGAACACCCTCCCTGTAGACATCAGACAGGCGCCCTCCCTTATGACATTCCGCAAGAGACTAAAGACGTGGTTTTTTGAGAAGGCGTTTGACTAAGTGCTACAACAATTGGCAATGATGATTGGAACGGAATATGGATAACGAGATTGGATTGTGATTCTATGATGAGACGTCACGAATGACTTAGTGTAATTGTATTATTGATAGTGATGTTGTTATTGTTGTTTATGATATTGCTTTTATTGTAAATTTTTTTTTATATGTTGTACACCGCCGTGAGTCGCCCTAGGGCTGAGAACGGCGGTCTACAAATGCAGTAAATAAATAAATAAATAAATATCATACTTTTATCTTCATTCCTTTTCCCCCCTTCCCCGTTTCATTATTTATTTATTTATTTAAAACATTTATATTCTGCCTTTCTCAACCCAAAGGAGACTCAGGGTGGAGCACAACATGTATACGGCAAACATTCAATGCTGGCTTATGGTCGCTTCTGGGAAATCTGCTACAAGACAGGAGCTTTTTTGTTGAGTTCCAAGGCCAGAGAAGCAGATGGCGGAAACAGAACGGCCTGCCTCAGGGGAGCGTGCTTGCTCCATCCATGTTCAACATCTACACAAATGACCAGCCACTGCCAGAAGGGACAGAGTTTCATCTATGCTGATGATTGTGCCATCACCACTCAAGGAAACCTGCTACAAACAGGAGCTTTTTTGTTGAGTTCCAGGGCCAGAGAAGCAGATGGCGGAAACAGAAGAACGGGGAGCGTGCTTGCTCCATCCATGTTCAACATCTACACAAATGACCAGCCACTGCCAGAAGGGACAGAGAGCTTCATCTATGCTGATGATCGTGCCATCACCACTCAAGGAAATCAGCTACAGAACAGGAGCTTTTTTGTTGAGTTCCAGGGCCAGAGAAGCAGATGGCGGAAACAGAAGAACGGCCTGCCTCAGGGGAGCGTGCTTGCTCCATCCATGTTCAACATCTGCACAAATGACCAGCCACTACCAGAAGGGAGAGAGAGTTTCATCTATGCTGATGATCGTGCCATCACCACTCAAGGAAATCAGCTACAGAACAGGAGCTTTTTTGTTGAGTTCCAGGGCCAGAGAAGCAGATGGCAGAAACAGAACGGCCTGCCTCAGGGAGCGTGCTTGCTCCATCCATATTTAGCATTTGCACAAATGACCAGCCACTACCAGAAGGGAGAGAGAGTTCCATCTATGCTGACGATCATGTCATCACCACTCAGGTAGGGAGATTTGAGATAGCTGAACAGAGAAGCTCTCTGAAGCTTTAGGTGCCCTTACTGCCTATTACAGGGAAAACCAGCTGGTTTCTAATCCATCCAAAATACAGACATGTGCTTTTCACCTTAAGAACAGACAAGCATCCCGAGCTCTGAGGATGACCTGGGAAGGAATCCCACTAGAGCACTGCAGCACACCCAAATACCTGGGAGTCACTCTGGACCGTGCTCTGACCTACAAGACGCACTGCCTGAACATCAAGCAAAAAGTGGGCGCTAGAAACAATATCATACGAAAGCTGACTGGCACAATCTGGGGATCACAACCAGACACAGTGAAGACATCTGCCCTTGCGCTAGGCTACTCTGCTGCTGAGTATGCGTGCCCAGTGTGGAACACATCTCACCATGCTGAGACATTGGATGTGGCTCTTAATGAGACATGCTGCATTATCACGGGGTGTCTGCACTCTACACCACTGGAGAAATTACACTGCTTAGCCGGTATTGCACCACCTGACATTCGCCGGGAAGTAGCAGCCAATAGTGAAAGGACCAAGGCAGAGACATCTCCGGCTCATCCCCTGTTTGGGTATCAGCCACCACGTCAATGACTTAAATCAAGACATAGTTTTCTAAGATCTACAGAGACACTCGCTGGAACACCCCAGCAAGCGAGAGTCCAAAAGTGGCAGGCTCAAACCCAGAACCTCAACCCATGGCTGATACCAAATAAGAGACTCCTTCCTGGGCACACAGAAGACTGGGCGACACTGAACAGACTGCACTCCCACGACGAACAGAAAATATATATCAGTGATTGGTTGTGGGGGGGCGGGGGCAAAATACTGTTTGCTTATCATTGAAAATTACCTAGGGCCACCTCTGTACACAGGCACCAACATTTGCGAATGACTGCTGCCCCCTCCTCTGTTTTTGCAAACTTTTATATACCCTCAGGTAAACAAGAATATTTTTGTCATGGAAAGTACTTTGACCTTTACTCTTCCTGTCCCATCAACCTCTTGATGGAAAGGACCTTCTTGCACCGGCAAACTTTGCGCTTAACCACAAACCAACTTCCTATGCAAGCTCACTAATATAACGACTTTTCCAAAAACCAAAACCTTGAACTTTGTATGACCTCTATACTAACATTTCGGTTCAAGATTTTAATTTTTAATATTTCTTAGGCTTATGCCTCCTTCAGAATCTCATCCAAACTTTTATATACCCTCAGGGAAACAAGACTATTTTTGTCATGGAAAGTACTTTGACCTTTACTCTTCCTGTCCCATCAACCTCTTGATGGAAAGGACCTTCTTGCACCGGCAAACTTTGCACTTAACCGCAAACCAACTTCCTATGCAAGCTCGCTAATATAACAACTTTTCAAAAAGCCAAAACCTTGAACTTTGTATGACCTTTGTATGATTTCGGTTCAAGCTTTTAATTTTTAATATTTCTTAGGCTTATGCCTCCTTCAGAATCTCATCCAAACTTTTATATACCCTCAGGGAAACAAGACTATTTTTGTCATGGAAAGTACTTTGACCTTTACTCTTCCTGTCCCATCAACCTCTTGATGGAAAGGACCTTCTTGCACCGGCAAACTTTGCACTTAACCGCAAACCAACTTCCTATGCAAGCTCGCTAATATAACAACTTTTCAAAAAGCCAAAACCTTGAACTTTGTATGACCTTTGTATGATTTCGGTTCAAGCTTTTAATTTTTAATATTTCTTAGGCTTATGCCTCCTTCAGAATCTCATCCAAACTTTTATATACCCTCAGGGAAACAAGACTATTTTTGTCATGGAAAGTACTTTGACCTTTACTCTTCCTGTCCCATCAACCTCTTGATGGAAAGGACCTTCTTGCACCGGCAAACTTTGCACTTAACCGCAAACCAACTTCCTATGCAAGCTCGCTAATATAACAACTTTTCAAAAAGCCAAAACCTTGAACTTTGTATGACCTTTGTATGATTTCGGTTCAAGCTTTTAATTTTTAATATTTCTTAGGCTTATGCTTCCTTCCGAATCTCATCCAAAAGTGTCCACGTAACCAACATAGCTATTATAAAGCCCATTACTGGAATCCGTGTGTCTACTTCTTTCTTATAGCACTCGGTTCCACTGAAAACGAACAAAAGGACATTTATATTTGTGACAAGAGCGCCACTGACTTGCGCTGCCGGTGGGACTTCTTGGAGGGGCACAGCTCCTGGAAGAGCTTCTGGCTGGTGAGGCGGGCCGCCATCAGGAACTTGTTCTGGGACAGGAAGTCGTCGATGAGCTGCTTCTTCATGGCCCGGGCCTAGAGGAGAGGGGCAGAAGGGGGAAGGGCCTTCATTTAATAGACCTTAGGAATAACTTATGGTAGTCTCCTTCTCTGGAGATTTTTAAGTAGAGGATGGATGGCCAACTGTTGGGAGGGATTGGATGTTGTCTTTCAGCCTGGAAAGAGGTTGGACCGGATGGCCTTTGGGGTCCTTTCCAACTCTAGGACATAATGATTCTATGTCGGGCTGGATGGCCCTCTGTCAGGAGGGCTTTGATGGTGTCCTTCTTGGCAGAAGGGGTTTGGACTGGATGGCCCTTGGGATTCCATCCAACTATGAGTCATAATAATAATAATAATAATAATAATATATAATAATATTAATATATAATAATAATAATAATAATAATAATAATAATAATGTATTGTCGAAGGCTTTCTTGCCCCACCCCAACCATTCCATAGATATATAAACCCATTTTCCTACTTCCAACAGACCTCACTACCTCTGAGGATGCTTGCCATAGATGCAGGCGAAACGTCAGGAGAAATGCCTCTAGAACATGGCTCTATAGCCCGAAAAAACCCACAAGAACCTAATAATAATAATAATACGTAATCATTAGCAGAACTTGAATGACCATCTGGTGGGGTTGCTTTGATTGTGTTTCTCCTGCAAGGAAGAAGCAGGGTTGGATTGGACACCCCACAAAGGCCATCCAGTCCTCCACCCCCTTCTGCCAGGCAAGAAAAGCACAACCAAAGCCCTCCCGACAGACGCCTATCCAGCCCCCAAATCATAGTTGGAAGAGACCCCGAGAGTCCATCCAGTCCATCCCTCTTCTTTCTGTCAAAGCACAATCAAAGCAGCCCTGACAGACTGCCATCCAGCCTCTGTTTCAAAGCCTCCAAAGAAGGAGCCTCCATTGGACTCTGAAGCAGAGAGTTCCACTGTTGAAGAGCTCCAAGAAGTTCTTTCGGAGGAGTTCCCTCTCTACGCGGACACTGACCTGGATGACGTCGGAGGGCTTCTCCACATTCTCCTTGAAGACCATCATGGTGGGCGTGTAGACGTTGATGTTGTACTGGCTGGAGAGGTCCTCTGTCCCCCGGAGGCCCACCGAGACGTAGCCGAAGGACAGGTACTCCCGGTAGGCAAAGGCCGTCAGCTGGAAGGGAATAATAATAAATGATAATAATAATAAATAATAATAATTAGTAATAAATAATAAGGGAGGGGGAAAGGGGTCAAACGAGGCCAGGGATCATAGAATTCTAGAGTTGAAAGAGGTGGGTAATAATAATAATAATAATAATAATAGTAATAAATAAGGGAGGGGGAAAGGGGTCAAACGAGGCCAGAGATCATAGAATTCTAGAGTTGAAATCCTAGATTTGGAAGCGGCAGGTATTATATTATTATTATTATATTATTATTATTATTATTATTATTATTATTACTGAATCATAGCATCCTAGATTTGGAAGCGACAGGTATTATATTATTATTATTATTATTATTATTTACTGAATCATAGCATCCTAGATGTGGAAGCGGCAGGTATTATATTATTATTATTATTATTATTATTATTATTATTACTGAATCATAGCATCCTAGATGTGGAAGCGGCAGGTATTATATTATTATTATTATTATTATCATTATTACTGAATTATAGTATCCTAGATTTGGAAGCGACAGGTATTATATTATTATTATTATTATTATTATTATTATTATTATTACTGAATCATAGCATCCTAGATGTGGAAGCGGCAGGTATTATATTATTATTATTATTATTATTATTATTACTGAATCATAGCATCCTAGATGTGGAAGCGACAGGTATTATATTATTATTATTATTATTATTATTATTATTACTGAATCATAGCATCCTAGATGTGGAAGCGACAGGTATTATATTATTATTATTATTATTATTATTATTATTACTGAATCATAGCATCCTAGATGTGGAAGCGGCAGGTATTATATTATTATTATTATTATTATTATTATTATTATTATTATTATTACTGAATCATAGCATCCTAGATGTGGAAGCGGCAGGTATTATATTATTATTATTATTATTATTATTATTATTATTATTTATTATTACTGAATTATAGTATCCTAGATGTGGAAGCGGCAGGTATTATATTATTATTATTATTATTATTATTATTATTATTATTATTATTATTACTGAATCATAGCATCCTAGATGTGGAAGCGGCAGGTATTATATTATTATTATTATTATTATTATTATTATTATTATTACTGAATCATAGCATCCTAGATGTGGAAGCGACAGGTATTATATTATTATTATTATTATTATTATTATTATTACTGAATCATAGCATCCTAGATGTGGAAGCGGCAGGTATTATATTATTATTATTATTATTATTATTATCATTATTACTGAATTATAGTATCCTAGATTTGGAAGCGACAGGTATTATATTATTATTATTATTATTATTATTATTATTATTATTATTATTATTACTGAATCATAGCATCCTAGATGTGGAAGCGGCAGGTATTATATTATTATTATTATTATTATTATTACTGAATCATAGCATCCTAGATGTGGAAGCGGCAGGTATTATATTATTATTATTATTATTATTATTATTACTGAATCATAGCATCCTAGATGTGGAAGCGACAGGTATTATATTATTATTATTATTATTATTATTATTACTGAATCATAGCATCCTAGATGTGGAAGCGACAGGTATTATATTATTATTATTATTATTATTATTATTATTATTATTATTATTATTACTGAATCATAGCATCCTAGATGTGGAAGCGACAGGTATTATATTATTATTATTATTATTATTATTATTATTATTATTACTGAATCATAGCATCCTAGATGTGGAAGCGGCAGGTATTATATTATTATTATTATTATTATTATTATTATTATTATTATTATTGAATCATAGCATCCTAGATGTGGAAGCGGCAGGTATTATTATTATTATTATTATTATTATTATTATTATTATTATTACTGAATCATAGCATCCTAGATGTGGAAGCGGCAGGTATTATATTATTATTATTATTATTATTATTAAATCATAGCATCCTAGATGTGGAAGCGGCAGGTATTATATTATTATTATTATTATTATTATTATTATTATTATTACTGAATCATAGCATCCTAGATGTGGAAGCGGCAGGTATTATATTATTATTATTATTATTATTATTATTATTATTATTATTATTACTGAATCATAGCATCCTAGATGTGGAAGCGGCAGGTATTATATTATTATTATTATTATTATTATTATTACTGAATCATAGCATCCTAGATGTGGAAGCGGCAGGTATTATATTATTATTATTATTATTATTATTATTATTATTATTATTATTATTATTACTGAATCATAGCATCCTAGATGTGGAAGCGACAGGTATTATATTATTATTATTATTATTATTATTATTATTATTATTATTATTACTGAATCATAGCATCCTAGATGTGGAAGCGGCAGGTATTATATTATTATTATTATTATTATTATTACTGAATTATAGCATCCTAGATGTGGAAGCGGCAGGTATTATATTATTATTATTATTATTATTATTATTATTATTATTATTATTATTACTGAATCATAGCATCCTAGATGTGGAAGCGGCAGGTATTATATTATTATTATTATTATTATTATTATTATTATTATTATTATTGAATCATAGCATCCTAGATGTGGAAGCGGCAGGTATTATATTATTATTATTATTATTATTATTATTATTATTATTATTATTATTACTTAATCATAGCATCCTAGATGTGGAAGCGGCATTTATTATATTATATTATTATTATTATTATTATTATTATTATTATTATTATTATTATTATTAACTGAATCATAGCATCCTAGATGTGGAAGCGACAGGTATTTATTATTATTATTATTATTATTATTATTATTACTGAATCATAGCATCCTAGATGTGGAAGCGACAGGTATTATATTATTATTATTATTATTATTATTACTGAATCATAGCATCCTAGATGTGGAAGCGGCAGGTATTATATTATTATTATTATTATCATTATTACTGAATTATAGTATCCTAGATTTGGAAGCGACAGGTATTATATTATTATTATTATTATTATTATTATTATTATTATTATTATTATTATTTCTCCCGCGTGTGAGCCACAAAGAGAGGCAGATAAAATGATGATGATGATGATTGCTATTATGTTGGACAAGACCTCCCCAAAGGTTATCCACTTCACCCCCCTTTCTGCCAGGCAGCCAAACCTAGTCAAAGCCCTCCCAATAGATGGCCTCCCAAGTCAGGCAATCCTGGAGTTGGAAGAGACCCCCAAAGGCCACCCAGTCCAGCCCCATCTCCTGACCTTGTACAGCAGCGGCACGAGGGGCATGTGGTCAAACAGAAGGACGTGGGGCTTGTTCTCCTTTTTCCAGTTGGATAGGAACTGGGCATAGTTCTTATCTGTAATCTTGAAACACAAGACAGAAGAGAAGTCAGTGCGTTCGATCTTAAGGGGAAGGTTTTTGCCTTCGACAGGTCCTCCTCTATCAGGTATTAATGAGCAATAAAATAATGATAATAATAACAATAACAACAATAACTTTTCTTTGTGAGCTGAAAGAAGAGGCAGATAATAACAACAACAACAACAACAATTCTGTCAGTGTATATTTCATGTATGATGTATGTTTAAATGTAATTTTATGAAGTGAGAATGTGACCCTGAGTTCTTGGTGTGTGAAACATTAGGGAGTGCCAGAGATAACTCCCTGCCAACTGAAGTTTGCTTAATAAAAAATAAAATAAAGCTAAACTATATATGTAATAACAGTAATAGTAATAATAATAATAATAATAATAATAGAGTATTTATTTATTTATTTATTTATTGCGGCATTTATATGCTGCTCTTCTCACCCCGAAGGAGACTCAGAGCGGCTTACAAGGTATATATACATACAATATATTATTAACATAGTACAATATCAGTTTTAAATATTGCTATATTGCACTATATCAATTATACCATAATATTATTAGTAATATTACATGTAATATAAATATATAATTATAATATCATATTATTATTAGTAAAACAATAAATGTAATAATAATAAAAATAATAAAGCTAACCTATATATGTAATAATAGTAATAATAAAAGAGTAAAATAATAAATGTAATAATAATAAAAATGATAAAGCTAACCTATAAATGTAATAATAGTAATAATAATAGAGTAAAATAATAAATGTAATAATAATAAAAATAATAAAGCTAACCTATATATGTAATAATAGTAATAGTAATAACAATATAGAGTAAAATAATAAATGTAATAATAATAAAAATAATAAAGCTAACTTATATATGTAATAATAGTAATAGTAATAACAATATAGAGTAAAATAATAAATGTAATAATAATAAAAATAATAAAGCTAACCTATATATGTAATAATAGTAATAGTAATAATAATAGAGTAAAATAATAAATGTAATAATAATAAAAATAATAAAACTCACAAATGGGAATTATTATCATCATTATCATTATTTTACCCACTAATCCCTGCAGCTCACAGAGGATTATCCTCTGTGATAATAATAATAATCCTCTGTGAGCTGCAGGTTGTGTCAGTAAAATAATGATAATGATAATAATAATAATTCCCCTTTGTGAGCTGCAAGAAGCAGGTAATAATAGTAATTATTATTATTATTATTATTATTATTATTATTATTATTATTACTATTATTTCTTTGTGAGCTGCAAAGAAAGCTGAGCAATATCATTATTACCTTCTCGACCAGGTTCCCCGGGAGCAGGCTCTCCACAAATTGCCGCAGATTCTCCCGCACAACAGCATTGTGGAAGAAAGTCACCTTCCCATTGATGACTCCTAGGATGGAGGGGGTGCTGTGGGCCCCCAGGTGGTGCGCCAGGCGCCGCTCGTACCCAGCATGCACCACCCCGATCCCCACACCTGGAAGAAGGGGCAACAGGTTAGGCGGCTTCTGTCATTGACATTATTAATTAGTATTTTCATTTATTATTATTATTATTATTATTATTATTATTCAAGATATAAAAGGAATACTGGGCTTATAACATTGATATTATTGATTATTATTATTAAAGGGAGATAAGGGATAAGGGGAGACTACTGGGATTATAGCATTGATATTCATTATTATTATTATTATTATTATTATTATTATTATTAAAGGGACATAAGGAATAAGGGGAGACTACTGGGCTTACAGCATTGCTATTATTAATTATTCGGATCACTATAATGATTGATTATGAATCGCCGCTTCTCTGACCGAGCGCCTCCAGCTCCTGGACGGCCTCCTTCCAGACGGGCTCGATGTGGATGCAGCTGAAGCACCAGTCGGAGGTGATCTTGATGAGGTAGGGCTTGTGGAAGCTGTCGGGCACCACCTCGTTGGCGTAGAGGGCCAAGTGGAGCAGGTGCTTCTCGTCGGAGGAGGACTCCCGCCGCTCTGCGTTGAAGGGGAAGTGGAAGAAGGACTCGTCGAAGTAGAAGCTGTCGTGGAAGTGGTGGAAGTGGCGGGGCGGAGGCTGGTGCGGGGACTGCGCAGAACCCGGACCCTCGCCCACGTCCCCGTAGCGGTCAAAGCTCAGTCGCTTCTCCTCGTTGGACAGGATCTGGGGCCCAGGAAGAAATGAGAGGTTATGCAAGTGGGAGCACACCTAGCTATCCATTTATCCATCTACTATCAAGTTAAGCAGGTTGCAGCACATCTATCTTTCCTTCCTTCCTTCCTTCCTTCCTTCCTTCCTTCCTTCCTTCCATCCATCCATCCAACAAATTAAGCAGGTTGCAGCTCATCTATCTTTCCTTCCTTCCTTCCTTCCTTCCTTCCTTCCTTCCTTCTCCATCCATCCATCCATCCATCCATCCAACAAATTAAGCAGGTTGCAGCTCATCTATCTTTCCTTCCTTCCTTCCTTCCTTCCTTCCTTCCTTCCTTCCTTCCTTCCATCCATCCATCCAACAAATTAAGCAGGTTGCAGCTCATCTATCTTTCCTTCCTTCCTTCCTTCCTTCCTTCCTTCCTTCCTTCCTTCCTTCCATCCATCCATCCATCCAACAAATTAAGCAGGTTGCAGCTCATCTATCTTTCCTTCCTTCCTTCCTTCCTTCCTTCCTTCCTTCCTTCCTTCCATCCATCCATCCATCCAACAAATTAAGCAGGTTGCAGCTCATCTATCTTTCCTTCCTTCCTTCCTTCCTTCCTTCCTTCCTTCCTTCCTTCCATCCATCCATCCATCCAACAAATTAAGCAGGTTGCAGCTCATCTATCTTTCCTTCCTTCCTTCCTTCCTTCCTTCCTTCCTTCCTTCCTTCCTTCCATCCATCCATCCATCCAACAAATTAAGCAGGTTGCAGCTCATCTATCTTTCCTTCCTTCCTTCCTTCCTTCCTTCCTTCCTTCCTTCCTTCCATCCATCCATCCAACAAATTAAGCAGGTTGCAGCTCATCTATCTTTCCTTCCTTCCTTCCTTCCTTCCTTCCTTCCTTCCTTCCATCCATCCATCCAACAAATTAAGCAGGTTGCAGCTCATCTATCTTTCCTTCCTTCCTTCCTTCCTTCCTTCCTTCCTTCCTTCCATCCATCCATCCATCCATCCATCCATCCAACAAATTAAGCAGGTTGCAGCTCATCTATCTATCTTTCCTTTCCTTCCTTCCTTCCTTCCTTCCTTCCTTCCTTCCTTCCATCCATCCAACAAATTAAGCAGGTTGCAGCTCATCTATCTTTCCTTCCTTCCTTCCTTCCTTCCTTCCTTCCTTCCTTCCTTCCTTCCATCCATCCATCCATCCAACAAATTAAGCAGGTTGCAGCTCATCTATCTTTCCTTCCTTCCTTCCTTCCTTCCTTCCTTCCTTCCTTCCTTCCTTCCAACAAATTAAGCAGGTTGCAGCTCATCTATCTTTCCTTCCTTCCTTCCTTCCTTCCTTCCTTCCTTCCTTCCTTCCAACAAATTAAGCAGGTTGCAGCTCATCTATCTTTCCTTCCTTCCTTCCTTCCTTCCTTCCTTCCTTCCTTCCTTCCATCCATCCATCCATCCAACAAATTAAGCAGGTTGCAGCTCATCTATCTTTCTTTCCTTCCTTCCTTCCTTCCTTCCTTCCTTCCTTCCAACAAATTAAGCAGGTTGCAGCTCATCTATCTTTCCTTCCTTCCTTCCTTCCTTCCTTCCTTCCTTCCTTCCAACAAATTAAGCAGGTTGCAGCTCATCTATCTTTCCTTCCTTCCTTCCTTCCTTCCTTCCTTCCTTCCTTCCTTCCATCCATCCAACAAATTAAGCAGGTTGCAGCACATCTATCTTTCTTTCTTTCCTTCCTCCCTCCGCATACAAACACTGACTTTTATTATATACACTAGCTTGGGGATCCGGTGCTGCCCGAGTCATTTGAGAAAGACATTGTGTGGCATGGTTGGTCTTTATCAGTTATTTATGTGGCTCGCAGTGCTCTCAGGAAGTTAGTGAAGGTACTGCAAGTCCCATCGTCCATGGTCCATCATCCTCCAAACAGCACCAGGATGTAGAGTGGGTCATGGGGGCTCTGTGTGCCAAGTTTGGTCTTGATCAATCATTGGATGAGGGTCGCAGCGCTCTTGGGAAGTGAGTGGAGGTACTTCAAGTCCCATCATCCATGGTCCATCTCCCTCAAAACTGCAACAGGTCATGGGGGTTATGTGTGCCAAGTGTGGTCTTGATTTTCCATTGGATGAGGGTCGCAGTGGTCTCGGGAAGTGAGTAGAGGTACTTCAAGTCCCATCATCCATGGTCCACCCTCCTCCAAAGTGCAGGAGGATGTAGAGTGGGTCATGGAGGCTCTGTGTGCCAAGTTTGTTATTGGTCTTTGTTGGGGGCCGCAGTGGTCTGTGGGAACCGACGGGTTTGAAAGTACTACAAATCCTATTATCCTTTGTCCATCCTCCTCCAAACTGTACCAGGATGTAGAGTGGCTCATGGGGGCTCTGTGTGCCAAGTTTGGTCTTGATCAGTCATTGCATGAGTGTCACAGTGGTCTCGGGAACGCGAGTGGAGGTACTTCAAGTCCCATCGTACATGGTTCATCCACCTCCAAACCACACCAGGATGTAGAGTGGGTCATGGGGCTCTGTGCGCCAAGTTTGGTCTTGATCGGTCATTGGATGAGAGTCACAGCGGTCTCAGGAAGTGAGTGGAGATACTTCAATTCCCATCATCCATGGATAGCCATTAAACTGCAGTAGAATGTAGAGTGGGTCATGGGGGCTCTGTGTGCCAAGTTTGGTCTTTATTGGTCTTTGTTGGGGGCCGCAGTGGTCTGTGGGAACTGATGGGTTTGAAAGTACTACAAATCCTATCATCCTTTGTCCGTCCTCCCCCAAACCTCCCCAGGATGTAAAGGGGGTCATGGGGGTTATGTGTGCCAAGTTTGGTCCAGGTCTGTCACCCGTGCTGGTCACAGTGGCCTGTGAAAGTGGCAGCCAATCAGAAAGCTCCCGTCCTCCCTCCACATACAAACACTGACTTTTATTATATACACAGATAATAAAGTAAAATAATAAATATAATAATAATAAATAGAGTAAAATAAATGTAATAAAATAATAGAGTAAAATAATGTAAATGTAATAATACCAATAATAAAGTAAAATAATAAATGTAATAAAAATAATACTAATAACGGTCTAAAATAATACATTTCACTCGAGTATAAGCCGAGCGGGACTTTTTCATCCTAAAACAAGGGCTGAAAAACTAGGCTTATACTCGAGTATATACGGTATGTGTGATTGTCTGTCCGTACCTCGTACGCTTTGCTAATCTGGATGAACTTATCTTCCGCTCCAGGGTCCTTGTTTTTGTCGGGATGCCTGCAAAGCAAACACAAGGAATAGGTTGGGATGGATTTTAACTGTGAATTTTTTTAGTACTGTTTGTGTTTCATTCCGTTTTAATGTTTGTATTGTTACTTATTTTAAACTAGCTGTCCCCTGCCACACGTTGCTGTGGCCACATGGGGGTTCTGTGTGAGAGGTCTGGTCCAATTCTATCGTTGGTGGGGTTCAGAATACTCTGTGATTGTAGGTGTACTATAAATCCCAGCACTACAACTCCCAAATGTCAAGAGTCTATTTTCCCCAAACTCCACATTTGGGCATATTTAGTAAAAAAATCTAAGTTTTCTTAGATCTACAGAGACACTCGCTGGAACACCTCAGCAAGCGAGAGTCCAAAAGTGGCAGGCCCAAACCCAGCACCTCAATCCATGGGTGATACCAAATGAGAGACTCCCCCCTGGGCACACAGAAAACTGGGCGAGTTGGAAGGCACTGAACAGACTGCGCTCTGGCACCACGAGATGCAGAGCCAACCTTAAGAAATGGGGCCACAAAGTGGAATCCACGGCATGCGAGTGCGGAGAAGAACAAACCACTGACCACCTGCTGCAATGCATCTTGAGCCCTGCCACATGCACAATGGAGGACCTTCTTGCGGCAACACCAGAGGCACTCGAAGTGGCCAGATATTGGTCAAAGGACATTTAACCAACTACCAAGTTTGCAAAATCTGTGGTTTTTAAAAATCTGTGTGTTTGTTTTGTTCTGTTAGAAATGTCATACAATGATATGGTTGCTGATGACATGATAAATAATAGTAAAAACACGCGGGGCAGTAGTCAATCCAAAAGGCAAAACGCTAAAGCAGAATGCTTGATGCCCGATCATAAAAGACAGAAATCTCCTATTTCTCCCAAACTCTATCTGTGTACATATTTGAGCATACAAAGTATTTGTGCCAAGTTTGGTCTAGATCCATCATTGTTTGGGTCCACAGTGATTTCTGGATGTAGGTGAACTACAACTCCAAAACCAAAGGACACTGCCCACCAAACCCTTCCAGTATTTTCTGTTGGTCATGGGAGAACTGTGTGCCAAGTTTGGTTCAATTCCATCGTTGGTGGGGTTCAGAATTTGATTGTAAGTGAACTATAAATCACAGCAACTACAACTCCCAAATGACAAAATCATAATGTTTTGAGTGATGGTCACTCCTTGTGTTGTGAGACGTTTTGTTGCCAAATTTGGTGTGATTTCGTTCGTTGATTCTTTTGTTTTCAAGGTATTCATGACACACAGAACATTTTTATATATATAGATTGTATACTAATGCCTTTATGTCAAGCCGAGCTGAGTCTCCTTTGGAGTGATACAGCAGGGTAATAATAATAATAATAATAATAATAATAGTAATGATGATAATGATGATGATATTGATGATGATAATAATAACAATAATAATAATGTTTGTTGATTGGAGAAAGGAAAGGGGAAAACGTATGAGGGGGTGGAAAGAAAGAAAAAGGAAGAGAAAGGAGAAAAGATAAAGGAAGGGAAGGAAGAAGGAACAAATGGAAAAGAGAGAAAAAAGAAGAGAAGGAAAGAAAGAAAGAGAGGGATAGAAAAGAGAGAAAAAGAAGAGAACGAAGGAAGGGAGAGAGGGAAGGAAGAGAGGGATAGAAAAAAGATAGAAGAAAAGCAAGGGAAGAAGAAACGGGAAAACGTATGGGGGGATGGAAGGAAAGAAAAAAGAAACAAGGGAAGAGAAAGAAGAAAAGAGAAAAGAAGGGAAGAAAAAAAGAAAGAACAAAGAGAGATCAAGAAACAGCAAAGATAAAGGAAGGGAAGGAAGGAAGAACAAATGGAAAAGAGAGAAAAAGAAGAGAAGGAAAGAAAGAAGGAAGGGAGGGAGGGAGGGAAGAGAGGGATAGAAAAAAGATAGAAGAAAAGCAATGGAAGAAGAAAAAGGGAAGGGAAAAAAGTATGGGGGGATGGAAGGAAAGAAAAAAGAAAGAAGGGAAGAGAAAGGCAGGAAAGAAAAGAAAGGAAGAAAGAAAGAAAGACAAAGGAAGATCAAGAAACAGCAAAGATAAAGGAAGGGAAGGAAGAAGGAACAAATGGAGAAAGAGAGAAAAAGAAGAGAAGGATGAAAGGAAGGGGGAGAGGGAAGGAAGAGAGAAATAGAAAAAAGAAAGAAGAAAAGCAAGGGAAGAAGAAAAAGGGGAGGGGGAAAGAATGGGGGATAGAAGGAAAGAAAAAAGGCGGGAAGGGAAAGAAAAAAGAGAAAGGGAAGAAAGAAAGAAAGAAAGAAAGAAAAAGAACAAAGAGAGATCAAGAAACAGCAAAGATAAAGGAAGGGAAGGAAGAAGGAACCAATGGAAAAGAGAGAAAAAGAAGGGAAGGAAAGAAATAATAATAATAATAATAATAATAATAATAATAATAATAATAATCCAGCATATAGATCTCGTTTGCTGTGGCAGACTGTGCTTTTGTGTCAGTAAAATAATAATAATAATAATAATAATAATAATAATAATAATAATAATAATAATTCTGCTTTTTCTTGGAGCTCAAGGCACAACAGAGTTTTAAAACGGAACAGTATTAAAATACATTATCATTATTATTATTATTATTATTACATCATCTCATCATCATCATTATCATCGCAACATAAAGTTAACGCAATTTGACACCACTTTGACTCCCAAGATTCCCTAGCACTAGAACTAGAACTCCCATGATCCCATTGCTTTAGAACCAGAACTCCCAAGATCCCATCACATTAGAACCAGAACTTTCAAGATTGCATAGCATTAGAACTAGAACCCTCAAGCATTGCTTTAGAACGAGAACTCCCAAGATCCCATTGCATTGGAACCAGAACTTCCAAGATAGCATAGCATTAGAACTAGAACTCCCAAGATCCCATAGGATTAGAACTAGAACCCGCAAGATCCCATCACTTTAGAACCAGAACTCCCAAGATACTATTGCATTAGCAGAACTCCCAAGATCCCATAGCATTAGAACTAGAACTCCCAAGATACCATAGGATTAGAACTAGAACCCGCAAGATCCCATCACTTTAGAACCAGAACTCCCAAGATACTATTGCATTAGCAGAACTCCCAAGATCCCATAGCATTAGAACTAGAACTCCCAAGATCCCATAGGATTAGAACTAGAACCCGCAAGATCCCATCACTTTAGAACCAGAACTCCCAAGATACTATTGCATTAGCAGAACTCCCAAGATCCCATAGCATTAGAACTAGAACTCCCAAGATCCCATAGCATTAGAACTAGAACTCCCAAGATCCCATAGGATTAGAACTAGAACCCGCAAGATCCCATCACTTTAGAACCAGAACTCCCAAGATACTATTGCATTAGCAGAACTCCCAAGATCCCATAGCATTAGAACTAGAACTCCCAAGATCCCATAGGATTAGAACTAGAACCCGCAAGATCCCATCACTTTAGAACCAGAACTCCCAAGATACTATTGCATTAGCAGAACTCCCAAGATCCCATAGCATTAGAACTAGAACTCCCAAGATCCCATAGCATTAGAACTAGAACTCCCAAGATCCCATAGGATTAGAACTAGAACCCGCAAGATCCCATCACTTTAGAACCAGAACTCCCAAGATACTATTGCATTAGCAGAACTCCCAAGATCCCATAGCATTAGAACTAGAACTCCCAAGATACCATAGGATTAGAACTAGAACCCGCAAGATCCCATCACTTTAGAACCAGAACTCCCAAGATACTATTGCATTAGCAGAACTCCCAAGATCCCATAGCATTAGAACTAGAACTCCCAAGATCCCATAGGATTAGAACTAGAACCCGCAAGATCCCATCACTTTAGAACCAGAACTCCCAAGATACTATTGCATTAGCAGAACTCCCAAGATCCCATAGAATTAGAACCAGAACTCCCAAGATCCCATCGTATTAGAACTAGAATTCCCAAGCTCCCATCACAGAACCAGAACTCCCAAGATTCCATTTTCCCCATCCGCTCACCATTCCCGGGCGAGCTTCTTGTAGGCCTTCTTGATCTCGGCCTGGCTGGCCGTCCGGCTGACCCCCAGGATCCGGTAGGGGTCGAAATCAATGGCCGACAAGATCTGCAGGGCCAGGACGAGGAAGAGGAGCGCCACCAGCGAGACGCTCAGCCGCTTCATCTCCATCTTGCTTCCTGAACAAAACGAAGCGGAGAGAGGTCAGGAGAGGCCAGAAATATCCATATCTATTATTGTTGTTGTAATTATTATTATTTTACTGACACAATAATAATAATAATAATAATAATAATAATTCCAATAGACACAATCACAATAGAGATGACAATGGGCGGGCCACATATTCCGAATAAGAAACAATTAACAGACTATCTATATATATATAAAAATGTAATGTTCGTTTGTGCTGCCATCAGAACTCAAAAACCACTGGGGGAATTGACACTAAATTTGGACACAAGACACCTCACAACCCAATGTATGTCCTTCACTCATAAAAACACTGGAAAACACAACAGAAGAGACTTAAAAAGCAAAAAAAATATATTCATGCTTATCTTCTTACCTAATTGGATTTTCCTATTCCTTTAAAGTGCTTTTTACTTAGATGCTTTTAGCTTATCTATATAAATAAAAATGTAATGTCCGTTTGTGGGATTAACAGAACTCAAAAACCACTGGACGAATTGACACCAAATTTGGACACAAGACACCTAACAACCCAATGTATGTCCTTCACTCAAAAAATTTGATTTTGTCATTTGGGAGTTGTAGTTGCTGGGATTTATAGTTCACCTACAATCAAAGAGCATTCTGAACTCCACCAATGATGGAATTGAACCAAACATGGCATACAGGACTTCCATGACCAACAGAACACACCGGAAGGGTTTGGTGGGCATTGACCTTGAGTTTGGGAGTTGTAGTTCACCCACAACCAGAGAGCACTGTGGACTCAAACAATGATGGATCTGGACCAAACTTGACACAAATATTCCATATGCCCAAATAATATGAACACAGATGGAGTTTAAGGGAAATAAACCTTGACATTTGGGATTTGTAGTTGCTGGGATTTATAGTTCACCTACAATCAGAGAGCATTCTGAACCCCACGAACAATAGAATCAGGGCAAACTTCTCACACAGAACCCCCATGACCAACAAAAAATACTTAAGGCCATCCAGTCCAACTCCCTTCACCAGGGCAAGAAAACGTAATCAAAGCCCTCCTGACAAAGAGCCATCCAGCCATAGAGATAGATAGATAGGGAGTTGTAGTTGCTGGGATTTATAGTTCACCTACAATCAAATAGCATGATAGAATTGAACCAACCGGGGCATACAGGACTCCCATGACCAACAGAAAACACTAGAAGGGTTTGGTGAGCATTGACCTTGAGTTTGGGAGTTGTAGTTCACCTACATCCAGAGACCACTTTGGACTCAAACAATGATGGATCTGGACCAAACTTGGCACAAATATTCCATATGCCCAAATATCAACACAGATGGAGTTTGGGGAAATAGACCTTGACATTTGGGAGTTGTAGTTGCTGGGATTTATAGTTCACCTACAATCAAAGAGCATTCTGAACTCCACCAATGATGGAATTCAACCAAACATGGCATACAGGACTTCCATGACCAACAGAACACATTGGAAGGGTTTGGTGGGCATTGACCTTGAGTTTGGGAGTTGTAGTTCACCCACATCCAGAGAGCACTGTGGACTCAAACAATGATGGATCTGGACCAAACTTGGCATGAATATTCCATATGCCCAAATATGAACACAGATGGAGTTTAAGGGAAATAAACCTTGACATTTGGGAGTTGTAGTTGCTGGGATTTATAGTTCACCTACAATCAAAGAGCATTCTGAACTCCACCAATGATGGAATTCAACCAAACATGGCATACAGGACTTCCATGACCAACAGAAAATACTTAAGGCCATCCAGTCCAACTCTTCACCAGGGCAAGAAAATGTAATCAAAGCCCTCCTGACAAAGAGCCATCCAGCCATAGATATAGATAGATATGATTCACACACACAAATATAGCATCATAGATTTGAAAGAGACCCTTAAAGAAGGACAATGATATGTTGCATATTCCAGAGTAGGCAAATCAAGAAACTCTCCACATCAACACTGACAAAGAAACAACAAGAAATACTGTTTACCACAAGCAGAAAAGAATTACATATATTAGAAACCAACACTTTCTCATTACTTTATTTTCCAGATCACCAGACTGGGCCACAGCAACGCCCCTCATATAAACCTCTTAAAAGGGTGTGTGCATATTATATATATTATAAATTATACACACAAACATATATTATGTATATTATACATATATATACACACACACAAATAATAAAAAGGTAAAATGTCAGTCTAATATATAATATCGAAATATAAAATAATAATAGATATACAAATATAAAATAAAACATATACAAATAAAAATATTATATATATTATAAATTATACACACACACATATAATATTATATATATTATAAATTATACACACACACATAATAAAAAGGTAAAATGTCAGTCTAAAATATAATAACAAAATTATATTGAAGGCACAGGTTCGCAGCTTGGGTGTGACTCTGGACTCATCGTTGAGCCTGGATCCCCAGGTTTCAGCGGTGACCAGGGGAGCATTTGCACAGCTCAGGCCCGTACCTCGGGAAGTCTGACTTGGCCACGGTAGTACACGCTCTGGTCACATCCCGCCTAGACTACTGCAACGCTCTCTACGTGGGGTTGCCCTTGAAGACGGCCTGGAAGCTTCAACTGGTCCAGCGTGCGGCAGCCATGTTACTAACAGGAGCAGGACGCAGGGAGCATACAACGCCCTTGTTGTACCAGCTCCACTGGCTGCCGATCTGCTACCGGGCCCAATTCAAGGTGCTGGTGTTGGCCTACAAAGCCCTAAACGGTTCCGGCCCAAAATACCTTTCTGACCGCATCTCGGCCTATGAGCCCACGAGGACCTTGAGATCGTCTGGGGAGGCCCTTCTCTCGATCCCGCCTGCCTCACAGGCACGTCTGGCGGGGACGAGAGATAGGGCCTTCTCGGTGGTGGCCCCCCGGCTGTGGAACGCCCTCCCTGTAGATATCAGACAGGCGCCCTCCCTTATGACATTCTGCAAGAGCCTAAAAACATGGTTATTTGAGAAGGCGTTTGACTAAGTGCTACAACAATTGGCAATGATGATCGGAACGGAATATGGATAACGAGCTTGGTTTATGATTCTACGATGAGACGGCGCGGATGATTTAGTGTAATTGGATTATTGATAGTTATGTTGATTTTGTTGTGATATTGCCTATTGTAAACTGTTTTTTTTTTATATGTTGTACACCGCCGTGAGTCGCCCTAGGGCTGAGAACGGCGGTCAACAAATGCAGTAAATAAATAAATAAATAAATAAAATATAATACATATACAAATACAAATGTACCATATATATAAAATATATACAAATAAAAATATTATATATTTTATAAATTATGCACACACATATAATATTATATAATAAAACAATAACAAATAACAATAAATAATAAAAATGTAAAATGCCAGTCTAAAATATAATATCCAAATATAAAATAATACATATACAAATATAAAATATAAAGTGAAACATATACAAATAAAATATTAAAGAGACTTAAGAGACTTAAAACATGGTTATTCAAACAAGCATTCGGCTAATCTGTGGCAATCGAATTCCGGTGACTATGGACAGGAAATATGGACAACGAATTCTGGACTGTGATTTCAACTTGAGATATATGGGATTATTATTGGTGGCCCAATAATTTGTTATTGTATATGTATATGTTTTTAAATTGGAGACTGTTTTAATTGTTGTAAACCGCAGTTGAGTCGCCGACCCAGGCTGAGAAATTAGCGGTATACAAGTGTACCAAATAAAATAAATAAATAAATAAATATATTATAAATTATACAAGCACATATATAATATTATATACATTATACCTATATTATACACACACAAATAATAAAAAGGTAAAATGTCAGTCTAAAATATAATTATATATTATATTATAAATATTATATTATTATATATTATTAAAATATTATAATATTATATTATAAAGTATAATATCAAAATATAATACATATACTAATATAAATGTAACATATATATAAAACATATACAAATAAAATATTATAAATTATACACACCTATATAATATTATATATATTATTCATATATATATATATATACACACACACAAATAATAATTATATAATAAAATAATAAAAAATAATAAATAATAAAAAGGCGCAATGTCAGTCTAAAATATAATATCAAAATATAAAATAATACATATACAAATATAAAATAAAACATATACAAATAAAATATTAAATATATTATAAATTATAGACATTTATTTATTTATTTATTTACTTTGCTTATATATATGGAAATAGAAAGGTGGCAGAGAAAGGAAACCAAGAGATGATGGATGAATGGATGGGTAGGTAGGTAGGTAG